CTCACGGCTCGCGCTTGGGAGGTCCGGCTCCCGCCTTGGCCTTCTGCTTCAGCACCGCGAGACGCGTCTCCAACGCACGAATCTCCTCCAAGGTGTTCGGGTCCGTCTCGGCGTCCATCTCCTGGTACCCCGCGGATGAATGGCCTCTCTTCGTCGCCCTCGGATCGTGCGGTAGGTCTCGCCTTGCAGGGGGTGCCCTGCCTTCCGTCACCACATCCCAGTCCGGTGCCGACGATGGGGCTGCACTGCTGCTCTCCGGGTACGGCACCGTGGCGTTCGACTCGATGGAGTTCTCCCCGCCATAGTGGATCTCGTACTGGTTCGCCTCCCACCACTTGGCGAAGCGAACAAGCTCGGGGTGAGGGCTTGCGCTCATCCGGACTTCTCGTGCCGCCCACATGCCGTAGTTCTGCGGTATCTCCTGGAACTCGAAGCCCCGAAACTTGCCTATCTTCATCAGTTCGGATCCCGGGGTCGCCGTGTGGTCTCGGATGAGACGAAGCAAGTTGCCCTTGGTGATCTGGGAAGGGTACTCCACGCCCAGGTCGTCCGCCTTGCTGCGCAGCTCCGCCATGGTGAGGCTCGTGATGGACTTCATCACCGTGGCTTGCTTCTGGACCGGGTCGTTCATCCGGTGCTCCATAATCGTCGCCTTCAGCTCCTCGCAGCTCCACGTCCTGTGAACAAGCAACCCCAGGCGGTTGCACTCGCTGAGAAGCTCCGTCTTGGTCATCTTCGAGATGGCAGGCTGCTTGCTGCATGCCATTTCCAGGAGCAGGAAGAGTGGAGCGGGGCGCAAGGCTAGGTCGCACTTTCGCGAAAGAAGATCTCCCGACCCACAACAGCGGAAAGGAGTTCTCATCATGATCACATTCCCATCGGTCAACTGCTGTCTCAAGCGGCTTCCCTGACCTGCAACAAAAGCCCTCAGTAACTCGAAGATCTCCAATCGACTGCAGGAGCATGCTCTTCTGAACGGTGTGCTGGGTTTTCCATGTTGAGGGATTACAAAGGGCTCTGCGAGGAACAACATGAACGCGAAACCAAGCGAACTCACCCTCCAACCAGAAGTCCGAATTGATCTTCGTCTGCTCCCACCATTTCATAAAAGACACACTGTGCAGCTGATCACCTGTAAGGATCTCCTTGACTTCGGGGCTGAGTTTCTTATCATAGAAGATCCTGTAGGGAGGGGCCTTGACAGTCGAAGCAGTTGAAGCCGATGGGGTACAACTGACAGTAGGTCTAGCGGGCTCCATAAACGGGTCCTCGGGGCCTTTCGTAGCGTCTCTGCCCTGCGACTTCTTCGGACTAGCAACCCGAGACAAAGCAAAAGCCATGTATTGCGATCCGCTCGGAGTGCAATCCTCTCCAATGACGAGTCGCTCGAGACCGTGCCCCGGCTTTGCCGGCACGATCGGGATCGCAGGGTGGCCCGAAGATGTGGTCACCAGATCGAGGTTCCTGATGCCCACACGGGTGAAGTCAGCACGGTTCTCCGCCACGTCGTAGACCATACCAAGCTGAGCCAGAGCAGGCTTGGACATAAGTAGAGGCACATCTCCGTTGATGATTGAGGTCTTCATCTCCACAATGCGGCTCCCGAGGCGAAAGCACAGCACGACATGGAAAGACGAGTGGTGCACCTTTCCTGTACCAAAGCGGAACGCCTCAGACTCACGGACCAGTTCTGGACTTTGACCTGCCAGCTTAAGTGCATCGCTGTACTGCTGTAGCCACATGGTCCCTGCAACCGCCTTCGCACAAGCAGTATCTGTGATTCCAAGAAGCGCTGGGCCATCGTGCTTCAAGGAGAACACCTCAGCAGGCACGTGGTGGCACATCTCCACCTCCTTTGGCGCTCGAGCGGCGCCCTGAGCTGAAGTGCCATAATTGGGGCACTCCGGATCTCGGTGCCAGTGGCCCTTTCTCCCGCAGCTGCCGCAAAAAGACCTGGCTTTCATCAGTCTCACCTTCTCATCTCTGCTCGTTTCTGCCTTCTTGCCATTGTCCTTTGCGATGCCAGCACCACGATCGCCTTGGAAGCCTCTCGCTTTCGTCTGTTCCTTGTATCGTTCCTTAGCGCTCTGGTAAGTGGCGTAGGCGACCGCAACATCCTCGGGGACCCCGTCCTCGAGCTCGATCTCATCGCCCTTGTCCTGGCCCTCGCCGTCGTCGGAGCCATCATCGCCCCCAGCGGTGTAGTGAGCCGTGTAGGGCTTCCGAGTCCTGCCGCTCTCCCAAGGCTTGCGATGCCCGCGATCGTGAAGAACGGCGGCTTGTTGAAGACGATGGAGATTGTACTCATTGCCGACGCTCGCCAACAAATTCAGCTCCTGGGCCTCCTCCAACTGCAAGCGGTCGATGTAGAGCCAAGCCGCGCACTCCTGCGGGATGCTGCAACCGACTTCTCTAAGCCTGGCATGGAGGCGATCGTACTCCGTGTTGTACTCGCGGATAGACTGTCCTTGGCGCCTCTTGAGGCGCCGGAAAAAGTCAGAGAAAGCCTTGCCGATGCGAGCCACCTCGAGGTCCAAGAATCTCGCATTGATCCACGACACAAAGTAGCCCACACCGTCGTCGGACGCAAGACGGGCGACCGACAACTCTTCGGCCGCTATCCATGCCTTCCCGCCGAGGTTCTGGTAGAGCACGAGTCCTTGTTGTGAAGCGGGGAGGTAGGTCATTCTACGCCAAGCTTCGATCTGCCGTAAGTAGCTTCGCGCCGAACCTCCAATGTCCTCGGTGTCGTCGCCGGTGAACGAAGGAATCACCAGCTTCTCGGATGCCCGAGCTCCTCCTTGGGAAGTCCCGCCTCCACGGTAGGTGCCCTGGAACCCGCCGTTCTCGTAGTGCGACCATCCGTTCCATGCGACCCCTTGGTCCTCGTAGTGTCGCTGCCCGTTCCATGCTCCACCTCCGCGGTCTCCATGATCATGGCCTTGGTCCCAGCTAGCTCGACCATCCGCCCGGGGATCTCCTCGAACTTCCGGCCATCCGTGGTCGCGAACTTGTCGTTCTCCCTCGTGCTCCGACCCAAGGGTCGCGCCCGCCGGACCACGGATCTTCGCTCCCGGTGCTCCAACGGTCCATGGCAACACCCGTCATCGTAGTCGCCGTGTCCCAACTGCCACGGCGTCCCCATCCAGCGCTCGCTTCAGTGTCCCAGTGACGACCACGTTGAGCTCTGTCGTCTCCCCACGACCGAGACCCGTGGTCTCCCCATTGACTCCAGACAGAGTCGTTCCACTGATCATCTTCGGACGGCGGCTGCACAAGCCCGCCTCTAGCATCATAGGCCCCATCGTTTCCTCCAGGAACATCAGCATTGCCTGGGGTGATGGTGTCGTCAACAGCTGGATCCCCGCCGAGGAATGGGTCGGCAGGATTCGACATCGCTCAGAGAGGATCTAACAAGCTCCGCTACCAATGTGAAACTAGAAGAACGGGAGGCACTACACTAGGGGCAAAAGCTGCACTCCCGTCCCGGCCTTGGCACAGCATGTGCCGTCCTTTTGCTTTGCGCACGGATGCCTTCGGTAAGCCTGCGTTCAGGGCGTGTGGGGCTTCAGCTCTTTACAGTACAGGCAGCGAGACAGTTCACTGTATGCAATATTCGAAAGGAAACAAGCCATCTTGTAGTACACTTCCATCAAGTTTCACACTTAGGGCTTTAGGGTTTAGGGTTTAGGGCTTTAGGTTTAGGCGTCAGATGCTATTGCACGTTGCTGCATGATCTGTCTCTCGATCCTTGTGCTGCGACTACTATCGATGAACTTCACGCCACAACTGTGCCTGCTGCTGCAACCCATTGCATGATTCTGGCACTGCTGTCATTGCACCACGACAGTCCCCATCGCACATAGCAGATTCCAAACGAAAGGTTCTGCCCTAAAGCCTCCTAAGCTACACCCTTAGAGCCATAAACCTTCGTGTTTGAGTGGAGGGCTTTGGGTTCGTTAGTGACTAAGCCGTTGTTGGTAAAGTCTCAGTAACTATATATATATATATATATATATATAACATTACTTATTACGTCACCTGATGCTAACCAGCATTGCGTAGCCCCTTTTTGCGGCGACCAGGGAATGTATCAGAATTTAGGATCTAGGGTTCTGAAAGGCACGTGGCATGTATGCGGCTCGACTTTACACTGGGGCACAAGCATCCTAAACCCTAAAACCTGTACATGCTTTTTCTGTACATCCGTACATCCCAGTCCAAGAGCACCAAGAGGAGCCGTCACGTTGGGTTGTGAGTTTGCGCCTTTGCCTACTTCAGGGTCTAAAGACACAAGCAGCCCCACGGCTGTCACAGCCTCAAACGAAGGTCGTGCCCACATATGCTGCGGACTCCGACATGCACTACCTTGAACTGTTGCAAGTCAAAAAAGTCGAGACAAACCCTAAACCCTAAACCCTAATTTTCGAGCCACTCTGTACAGCCCTACAATCTGACCTCCGAAAGCCCGCATGAAGTAAATCCCCAAGCAGTTGCCGCACTTCGAGATCCCACTGAAGGAACCTGATAAAAACGACGGGTTCTTCTGAGGGCTCTTAAGAACAGTCCTGCTATTTGGGTCTTATGGAATTATGGAACCTGGGTTCTCAAATCAGGTTCCTCTATCAAAACCTCATGGTCCCAAGCTGTCCAGCACAAGCCCTCGACCCAGAAGCCCCCAGAGTGTAACAATTCGGCTCCTTTTTGGTCTAGGGTTTCAGGTTTAGGACCCTGAAACCCCAACTTCAAAACCCGAATTCATCCTATGTTACAAGCTTTTGCCTAACAGACTCTTTTGTAAGGTCGAGCCCCATATCCTGAACTAACCCTTTCCGTTAGCGGCTTAGCACTTGGCCTCCAGGCCTTCATACAACATTCTCGTTTAGGGTTTACGGTTTAGGACCCTAAACCCCTAAACCCTAAACCCCTACAGTAAACCCCTAAACCCTAAACCCCAAACCCATAAACCCCTAAACCCTTTTGATTTTTGGGGCCCTCACCAGCTCGCCCGGTTCAGGCGACTCCAATCAGCCAGCGGCACGCCAACAGCGAAGAGCGCAACACAGGCGATGACGAAGCCTAGCCTCAAGAGCTTTGAAAGCTTGTTATTTATGTTGAATATGGCATTGTGACATAAAAAATTAGAGTCATGCAGGACTTCTGTCATATTTAGTATGACTTAATTTGAAAGCTTCTATGTTTACGTGACTTTTTTTTATAAATTATCAGTATTGACATCTCTACAACTTGCGACGTTTACTATTGACAGTTCTATTGCCCTCTTAGCAGTTGAATGTACTGACCGCCTTTCTTCATGGAAAAAAGCAAAAGGGGTCTTAGGCGTTTCCGATTCGCTCCTTTGGGTTTGGCTGTTGAGGGCTTGAGGGGCGGTACTATAGGGGCCTTAGTCATTGGAATAGCTGGGGCCGACTCTACTTTAGTTATAACAAGGAACCCCCAGAATAGCAGTAAAGGATCATGGGACTTAGTAACTAGGGTTATAATAAGGGTAACTATACTTATACTTCTGGCCCCAATTAAGTTACTTATAACCTTACTTACTAAGTCCCATGATCCTCCATTATAGAACCCTTATAGATCCCTGTAAGGATCCCTTTACTAAGTCCCATGATCCTCCAAGTATGGGTACTTTTTGACGCCCCGCTTTTGTTGTAGGCGTTCGAGCCCTGGGTCTCGAGCTTAACATCCTGGAGGGCACAGAGTAGGGCCCCAAAAAGGCACATAAGCAAAATTTAGAATGGGGAAGGGATATCCCATATAAATCCCCTTATAATGAAGCCCAAAAAGGTAGGGATATCCCTATAAAGTGTTATGCTTATGTGCTTTTTTGGCCCCTAACAGAGGGAAGACTGTGCAAAATGATTCTCAACCACAGTGGCAGCCAAAATCATGGTTCCCCTTGGGGAACGCTATATACTTCCACTCTGAATACGGCACGCTATTTAAAGGATCATGGGACTTATATAGTAACTAGGGATATAATTAGGGTAACTATACTTATAACCCCAATTAAGGTAGTTGCTTATAGCCTTACATACTAAGTCCCATGATCCTCCAAGTAGAGTTTCGGAATCCAAAAGGAACCCTTATTGTCACAACCACCCTTTTAGAACGACTCCACCAACGCTGGCCGGGGCACGTTAGCCACCCGTTCACGCTGGCGGTGGTACTGGAAGAGCTTCTCCATGTGAGGGCTGACAGCGCCGCGGCCAGTGCTGCACCTAAAATACTGGAAGTCTCATGCAACCTAAATCCCGCTTGCCGACACTATCAAGGCAATTTCTACTACTGTTCTAAGATTCCTCATCTCTTAAGTACCCATTGGTGTAGAACTACAAAAATCAAAACCGCTTAAGTTTCGAACTCGTGTGAAGAACTGGACTCCCTCTAATATTGGGAGCTTTGACAACTTCATGCTGAATATGGTTTGATTTCGGGAATTTCTACAATCCCTCTGGCATATATAGGGCGACCTAACAGTTGGAATCGAGTTTCGGAGTTGTCGCGTGCACTATATAGCATGATGCAGTATAATGTAAATGGACTACTGAAACCGCAAACCCTGAAACTTGAACCTTGAACCCTAAGCCTTAAAACCCAAACCCTGAACCTTAAACCCTGCACCTTAAGCCCGTAAGCCCTGAACGTTAAACCCCCCCAAAACCCACATGGGGAACCCTTAAGGTAGCCCCTTAAAGCAACCTGGAAGATGGTGCTTGGAAGTTCATGGCTAAACCCTAAACCCTAAACCCTAATCCCTAAGCCCTCATCCCTAAGCCCTAGGCCCTAAGCCCTAAACCCTCGGGTATCCTGGGGAACTAAAGGTTAACCTTTTGGTTATATAGGGAAAATATAGGGACTAGACCACCCAAAAAAGGTTAAAGGTTACCTACTCGACTGCTAGGGTTCTAAGTGGGGTCATAAGTAGGGTATTCATAGCTATAACCCATCTTTGGGGACTTATAACCCGACTTATAACTACCCATGAACCTCCAAGTAGTCCCTGAACCTTACACCCTTATAGAATCCCTATAGATCCCCTTAGAATGGAACCTTAAAGAAACCCTTATAACTACCCATGAACCTCCAAGCAAGTCTAAGCCGAGGCTCTCATCGCTGCTTCCGGGAGCCCCGTCAAGGCGGAGAGCAGGGAGCCGGCTTTCGCAAACTGCGACACCAGCGTGGCCATCATGAGAAGCCTGGGGAAGGCTTCGGGGGGTTTTTAAAGGGATCTATAAGGATTGCTATAAGGGCTGCTATAAGGGTTTAGGGGTTTAGGGGTTGAGGGGTTTGGGGGTTTAGGGTCTATAGGGGTTTGGGGTTTAGGGCCTAGTTTAGGGTTTAGGGGTTTGGGGGTTTGGTGGTTCAGGGTTCAGGGTGAAAGGCATGCTTCCTGGCGCCTGCGCTACCGTTGCAGGTGCTGTTCCTGTCATGGATGTGTGGTAACCATATCGCCGTGCAGGCGAAAGTTTGACGAGATAAGCCTTTTAGCTTGGCCCTTTAGAGCCTTTTTAAACATATCTATAAACAAGATCCTCTGAAACCCAATACGGGAAAATCACCCACAAACAACCCAATGGCCTACCTAGTCTTGCCTTTGCTGTACACGGGGCTTTGAGCTCGGGACTGGGAGTGGTCTTGACAAAATGGTTGAATCAGGGTCGTGTAAGGACCGAAAGCAGCAGCGCAACAAAAGATTTCCTTTCTAAAGCAAGCCACCCACTGGTTGTCTTGAAAAGGATTGCATATACCATAACGGCCTGAATAATTAGAATAGGGTATGAGGGTAGATTCCACGAATCCACCCGAAATCCTCATTATACTGTATGATGTACCCGCCATATGCTATTTTAGTTGTTAATGCCCCTATATTACAATGAGAAGACCGCGAAAAGGATAGAACCGAGCTTCATACCGGTAGACTACAATAGATGTTAACAAGGTTTCCCAGGATGAGTACTACGACTCACTACGACTGCGACGACCAGCAGCAGCAGCAGCAGCAGCAGCAGCAGCAGCAGCACACCACTCTTACTCCTTCTCGTGCTCCTGCTCCTATTCCTACGCCTACTGCTACGACTTCGATGACGGTTAATAATACTTCCGACATCTCCTGCCTGCTAGAGGGGAGTTGAGGGAGTTGAGGGGAGGGATGAAATCGATCACCCACATCACCATCGCCACCAACTGCACCGTCAATGCCCTAAATTCTCAGCAAAACGCGGCCACTGCCTGTAGCACCGTCACCATCGATATCATGATGATCATCACTCACGGTCATCGATTGTAGCTTTGTCATCACCACCATCTACCATAGCTTTCATCAGGATGTGGCTAATCACGAACACCCCGACCCTCAACCTTAAGCCTCGATGTCAATCCAAGCCAGGCCACAAGAAGAGCGAGGACACTACAGCACGTCCTCCGTGCAACGGCGTTCTTCTAGGTTTCACGGTTTCAGGCGGTTTTAAACTTGCTGAGTCACATCACGTGCACAAAACGCTAACAGTGTAACCTGAGTGTTCGAAACATTGACTGTACGGACCCCCCTGCTTTTGGTGGCTGTTCTAGTCTAGGCTCTAGACCCTTAGCCTCAAGACCCCAAAGCTTTATGACGCACGTTTCACACACCCGCGACAATAGAGACAACAACGACCGTGACTTGATAACGCATAGAACCGCAATAGAACCCCTTGACCGCAGTCGTGAGTTATTGTTGTAGACGTACCAATATTCATAAACATGTGCAGTATCATATTGGTAAGCACAATAACAAGCATTCCTAGTCCACCAGACCCTCATATCCTCGATGACCCATGTAAACCTTGAAGCCTAAAGCCTCAACTCTGAACCCTAATGGGCCCTAGTTAACTACCCCCTACAGCTTCAAGCTCTGAAGCACGAAGTAGCTGACCAACCAACCAACGAAATCCTCAATACGGCTTAGACCAAAAGCCCTGCAACCCTGTCCTCCGGGTCCGAGGCGTCGTTCTGCGAGGGTGGCATAACTTACCTGGGCTGTTACAGCGTTTAGGGGGTAGGGGTTAGGGTTTAAGGGTTTAGGGGTTTGGGGGTTTAGGGTCTAGGGGTTAGGGGTTTAGGGCCTAGTTTAGGGTTTGGGTATAGGGGTTTTGGTTTCGAGTTTAGGGCTGAATGAGGACCCAAGTACTTCCCCTATAAATCCCTTATGAAACCCGTTTGGAACCTTTGCAGAACCTGTCTACAACCTGTAAAGTAAGATCGAACATAGAACCTTCATAGATCCCTTGGGCATCGCAGGGAAGCTGAAAACTCAACACCCCTCAGTTGACATCTCGAGGTTTGGGACTTACAGCCCGAGGTCTTTCAACATCCTGACGGGAGATCACGCACATCATCTTGACATCTCTGCTACGATTTGATCAATCTTTCTCAAGCAAGCTTGAGGAAGATCCCTGAGTGACCCGTATTCCGCGAGTAAGGAGTGGAAGAGCTCGATACTTAAAGGATCATGGGACTTGGTAACTAGGGTTATAATTTGGGTAACTATACTTATAACCCCGATCAATGTACTTATAATCTTACTTACTAAGTCCCATGATCCTCCAAGTAAGGCTTGTCGGCGGGGTCTGCTTCGTGCGAACTTGCCTACCTCCAGATGTCCGAAACGGTACGACTCAACGGATTCAGGGTTTAGGGGATTCAACCCGTCAGGCCTCCCCGATTGTAAGAAACTAGCACATGGTGGCAACCTACAGCGATGCTGCAAGCAACATGCTGCTGAGCATTGCACCTTCAAGTTCCACTGTGAGGAAGTGTCAAGATGAGGCCTTGGGCCTACCGCCCCGTGGATAGCTGCCCACGGCGCATGGGTGAAGCCACAAGCTTTGTCCGATGTTTTGGTGTTTCGGGCTTGCGGTCTCCAAAGCTTCGTGCCTTCCCGCCCTGGATACCAGACTTCCGCGCTTACTTTCCCGGTTTCATGCAGCTATCTAGCACACTACATGGGTGTGAATGCGACTTTCAACATTGTCTGAGCTGGTTTCATTCGGTGTAAACCTAGCAAATCTGTGTGTTCCACTGGCCGACTGGCAGCAAGGTCCTGCGCTCGGGAAGAAACTCGCACTCCGATTCCAAGGTGTTGCGACGAAGCCACGCACTCTTAAAGAAACAGGTGCCACTTCCTCCGGGCTAAGTGGAAACAAATAACCGCCGTTTGTCGGACACCATCGGATCCGTCAAGCACATGCCAGTGACGATGGATGATGCTGAACAGCGGTATTCCGAAAGCTGCTTCTATGATGCTGTAACGGCATATCATATGGTCAAACCGGAATTTCCCATTCTGTGCGTTTCAGGGCTGGACCGACGCAGCAACCCCTGCCCTACGCCGCACCCTGCACCATGCCCCATTCTGGTTGGGTTATCTGTTGTCCTTCCACTCTCACTGCATGATCTCGATGGCTCCAGTCTTGTTCGGGTTGGTATCCATAGAGTACAGGAGACGGAACGCATAACCGTTGTAGGTCTTCATCTCGGGGAGCTGATGTAGCCTAGCATACTCGGCCATTGCGCGAAAGACCTCAGTGCGCGCTGCCCTCACCTCGGCCAACAAGCCCTGCTTGTGCAGGCGCTCCCGTATGTGGACATCTTTGGAGGCCACGCGCCACTGTCCATCCGTCTTGTGCGAGAGAAATGCATACCGGAGCTTATCCTCCACCTCTGCGGCTGTGTCTGTTGGGGAGGGAAGAGCATCCAGCGGCTTCCGCAGGCTATACTTGTTTGTCGGGCCATTAACGAACACAAGCATTGCCTCCTGCAGGTCTGCGTTCATGTCGTCGTCCATGTACCCGAGCCTTCGTAAAGCTTGGCATACCAAACTCGGCGAGTCTTTCAGTAGGAACGGACCACCACCCTTGAAGAAAGACCTTGCTAGATTCGATCCAAATTTGCGCCTTGTGTTTTATTCAGCCTTTTTCCAGCTGCGGATTTGGGAAGGAAGAATGCCATGTTGTTGGCATATCTCTTCCACTTTCTACTACCATGTTTCTGCATTTGCTGGCAGACCTGTTTGACGCCGATTTGCGAAGGGAACACCGTGATTGAACCCAATTCGTTTGTGAGCCAGAATTTCGAAGTAGCGTGCACAAAATGGTCTTCGCGTCCAGGGGCCATGTAGCCAAGGTCGACCAAGAAGCTTTTGCAAGAATCGGTGCTTGCAGTATCGTACCAGGGGGGGCATGGTTCATCAAGTTGCACATGTCCACTGCCATCTGAATTCAAAATTGCGCGCACTCTCGGGAAGGAGGTCTCCCGCGCCCGGAGTTCTTGGACCTGCACCCCTGCACTTTGGTAGCGCTCGATGACTGCGGTATATTTCGATGACACACAAACTAGAATCTGCCTGCCACGGCCCATCGCTTGCTTAACGGAATCAACGAAGTCGTAGTCGGATGTGAGGAGAGCCAAACTTTGGTCGTCGTTGCAAGTACTCAGCGCACTGCTTATCGCACCATCGTTGGCTTCACCAACTCTACTCGAGTTTCGGTCGACGGGACGAAAAGTGACAGCCTGACGCTGGAAGAACAGCTTCCAGTTCTTGTTCTTGTCACGACCAGGTTCTGCAAAAACGGTTGTGTGTACCCTTGTGCCAGTCTTCTCGAGCTGCTGGATGGTATCCTCGATATCTTCAACACTATGGGTATCTCCATCCACAAGCAGCTTGGTGGCTCTTGTGGCAGGGCTCGGTGATGCCTCCGATTTGCACCTGCAGCATTTGCCACGACGTGCATCGCGAAATACGGATGCCAGGACCTCGGCCACAAACGAAGAGAGCCTTCTGCCAACAATTATGAGCTTCGATGGGGTTCAATGACATAGAAAGTTACACAAGGCAGCAAAACCTCTGAAGGATACTAACGGGGCCTTAATAATGAGAATAGGGCTTTGGGACCCATTATACTATAACTATCATAAGGAACCCCCAAAATAGTATGGGTTAATTATTAAGGCCCCTACATTAACACCCAGGAACTACCCCGGAGGCTGCGAAGCTGCACAGTGTGGACGGTCCAGCCCCCGCAGGGCCCCCAGCCAGCTTCCCAGGACTCCCTTTCAAGGTTTAGGGTGTTAGGGTTCAGAGTTTAGGGTTTTAGGGTTCAGGGTTTAAGGTTAGGGTTCAGGGTTTAAGGTTTTAGGGCTCAGGGTAAGTTTAGGGTTTTAGGGTTCAGGGTTTAAGGTTTTAGGGTTCAGGGTTTAGGGTTTTAGGGTTCAGGGTTTGGGGTTTAGGGTTTTCGCTGCCCACGACATTGATCCCACGTCTGCCGGGTGCGCGGGTCCAGTGGGAAGATCTGCCTCTGCCAAGGCGGAAGCCAAGCCAACATGCCTACTTGTCGGGTATCATGGGGAACTGAAGGTTAACCTGTTTGGTTGTATAGGGATTATATAGCGGACTATACTACCCTAGAAAAGGTTAAAGGTTTTCTACTCTACTACTAGGCATGTTGGCGTTCAAGCGAAATGCTGCAGGCCAGACTAGACCCGAGAACCCTGCAAGTAATTATTTGTTATGTCAAGGCGATGCTGTGCTGAACAGACCACCGCATCCAAGGGATGCTGTCGCTGCGATTGCAAGATTCACTTCATGATCTGCTTGAGCCACGATCCGCCAGAACATCACCGATTGTTGCATGCAGCAACTGGCAGGTCCGGTCCCCAGAGACTCCAATATCCCCTAATTAAGGAATATACCTTAGATCATACTAGGGATCCTACTATTATTTAAGGTATATTCCTGAATTAAGGGATATTGGAGTCTCTGGGTCTTTAGCCAAAGAGGCCACACGGCCAGAGCGACGGGACTCTTCCACGAGCAGGTCGGTGACGACGTGAGCCTGGAGGCTTTCAGGCTTTCAGTAAGAAGCCTTGGGCCTCACTGACGCTTCTATAAAAGGCTCTATGGTTCTATAAGGGTTCTAACCGGGGTTTCATGAAGGTTCTATAGGAGGTTCTCTCAAGGTTCTATAGAAGATTCCGCAAGTTGCTTTTACTTACAAGTTTCCCAGTATCTCTTAGTGGCGCGGGTCGCCCTTTTCCTCTGTTAAGCTTATGAGGGTAAAATAGGGCACTACTCGGGGACCTCATCACGAAAGGTCCCCTAAGGGGCAGCCAGCTCAGGAGCTTTGGTGGCACGGCTTCGGGCAGAATGATTGGGTTCTCCGGAAGAGGCTGTTCACAGACCAGGAAATGGAATGTTTCCGTGAGGCCCGTCTCGAAGAAATTTATGACTTTGGCATACTAGCTAGACTTGCGCTACTCGCAGAAGGCAAGGGAACAGTTTGCAAAAAAGACCTGACGTACGTGCCCGTCAAGCCTACCTGGACCCCAAAAGTATGTAAAATAATAGCCTTTTATAGGCTTTGTGCCATTATTTTACCTACTTTGGGGGTCTAGGTAGTAGTCTTCTGTAGAACCGCAGCTCTGCATCACAGGGTCGACCGGCAAGCAAAGGCCACTAGAAATAGTGTAGAAGCCTTAATGCTTAGAATTAGAATTCGGTTTTGGGGGCTATTATACTAGAGTTATAATAAGGACCCCTCCCCCCCGAAAACCCTGTTCTGATTATTAAGGTCCCTACATTTCACTGCAGAAGATCCGAATAAACCCTCAACCCTAACCCTATTCTCATGATTAAGGCCCCTACATGACACTGCAGAAGATAGAAACCCCGAAAGGCGGCAATTACAACCATGCAGCAGCCGCTGTTCAAACCACCTCTGAGCAGCTGAAGGATGCGATTGTGCCTTTTTCACATGAGCCCTAGGACTTATAAGCGTCATCCAGTGATTCTTACGGGAATTGATTTCAATTACTGTAAAGTCCACACCATGAATAATAGTTCTTGTCTTTCATATAGTTCGTATTAGTGCTGATTCCTAAAATATCTGTTGAGAGTATCATCCCACGACCGAGCCTGGAAGAGAAGCAAGGCCCAGGAAATCAGCATCACCACGGCCGAAGGAACCTTTGGTTACAGCAGATTGCGAAAAGAGCAACATCGGGAATTGAACGCAGCTAGCTTATCCGAGCACCGTATGAAACACCACTGTGTATCAGTCCTGTTCTGAGTGTACCGATTATGAAAAACAGAACAATGAGACAAAGCTGAAGCAACTCTACGAAAACTGGGCGCCTCACAAAACCGGACGGTGCAGAGGTGTAGGGCAAAGCCAAGAAACCTTTCAGGGCAGTATCACGGCAGCAAGAACTACCTAAATGCCAAGCCTGGTCTATCAGGGACCCAAAAATGACATAAGCAGAAGCATTTTCAAGGGATATCCCTTCATTGGGCTTCATGATAAGGGGGTTTACATGGGAGATCCCTATCCTCATTTTTGTTTATGTGTTTTTCGGGACCCTAGTCAAAGCTCGGGAGGCTGGGGCCTGAGTATTTTGAGCAAAGCAGTCCCGATGCACGGCAAGTGGGTATCCCTAGCCCGGGCACGTGTACAGTAGAAGCCCAAAGGTTGGAAACCCCGTAGCCTCAATCCCGAAGAGCAATGTATAGGGAATCCCAGCACCATTTGGCCTTGATCTGGTTTCCAACTTTATGGAGTCTATTATATGCCAAACGGCCGGTAGCTACGAATCCTGCTTGATAACTTCCGACCCAAGACTCGGGCGACTTAGCTGGAAGTTGCGTCCTCACACCGATTACGATAGCTTTTCCTATTGTTCATAGTGATGTCCCAGCCTGACCCCTAAACGACTGTATGACAAGCTGCATCACATCCGTGATAGTCAGGAAAGTATGCGGCCTGTATCTCAGTCCATATGAGTCAATCTAGGCATCGGATCGGCGATTGGGCAGCATCTGGAGCAATGCTCGCGGGTCCAGGGCCAGTTTTGGCCTCAGGCCTATGAGGCTTACGGTCAAAATTGGAGCTTCTTGGGCCAGGTAGAGCCAGGACGCCTCCACCGATAGCAGTGCCGGTAACCTCGGGTGAGTTCAGGGGGTGGGGTCTGGGGCAGGCGTTTGTGAACATGGGTTCATCGGAATTTCTCGCCTTACTTCGTGCGCGACAACGAGCCCACGGAGCTACGAACCTAAGCCAAACCCAGCATCTCAACTGAAGCACGGCTTTTGGAGTTTTTATTCCCCGGCAGCGAGAGCTTCGGGGTCTTCAGTCGAAATAAGGTTTGGGGCAAGGTCCGGGCAGGTTCGGGGGCGTTCCGGGGCGGTTGCTGGGGAGGTTCAAGGGGGTTTTGCGACGCCTGAGTTCTCCTCTTCCTTCAAAGCTGCGTCCTGTATAGCCCTCAAATCGCAAACCCTGCACCCTCGACCCGAGACCCCAAACCCCCGGAGCCCAAGTGTTACTGATACTCTACACGATAAGCACGATTAACAGCTTGGAGCGTAGCGCCCTTCACTCTGAAGCCCTACACTAGAGCGCCTGGCCCAGGGGCTTTGGAACTTCTGTAGAGGCTTTCTGATTGCTCTCCGAGTGTCGAGAACCGCGGCTGAAGCATCCTTCTGGCTCCAGCCCGTGCCGCGCCTGAGATCGGTTCAGGGCTCCATGGACTTTGGCGGGGCGATTGTTTTTTTGTTATCTGCGGCAGTGCGCGATGATACTTGTTGCGTAGTGCCATTACCAACACAGGGGTGAGGCTTGAAGACTTCATGTCTGAGGGATGATCTAAGGGCTGCAGGTTAAGGGTAAGCTGGTAGATTCCTGGCACATGTACATGTAACTACGAGTAGGTGAATCTGCGCTTGAACCCTGCTGCACATGCACGTGGTTGATACACATGTACATGCACTATATGCCATCCTTATTGATGTAATGTTTGAGCCATGCGGGCAGGCAGGTTGGTTTCGCGACCGCCATACTAAGTTCGGCAGGAATCAACATCCCGCATCCAACACGTAACAGAGTATAGGACAGAGCAGTGCAGCACGACGCTTCAGGCTTAGGGCCTACAACCAACTTCATTCAAGGGTAAAAAGGAGGGACCCTAAATAAGGACCCCTAGGTATATACCCTTCATTTTGCCCATTATAGGGTAGTAGGGTCCCCATTAAGGGTCCCTCCCTTTCCCCTTTGACTTCAACTTTGCATGGAGGGCTTGGAGGCTCGGATTTTGGGTTTGAGCGCCATTGGGACGACGGTCCAGGAGTTGAGGGGTTGGGGGGTTTAGGGGTTCCCCTAAAGGGATACATAAGGGTTCTATAAGGGATCTATAGGGGGCACGGCTTCCCGATGCGGTCTGTGCGTTGAAGGCTTCACGCCCTGGCTTCTGAAGGTGGAACATGGAACATTGAAATGATAGGGGCTTCACTACAAGGAGTTTCTATGGGATATCCCTATCCCAGTTTTTGTTTGTTTTTGGGGTCCTAATGAGTTTGCACATTTTTGGATTCCAGTTTGCCCCTCAAGTACCTACACAAGTGGGAAGATGAGGGGCTCCTCCCACGACTCCAGCATAAGTTCAAGCCTGAAGCTGGAGAATATGGAAAGTTTATGCCCGAAGTTAAAGGATTCGGTTGTCCTCGGGTCACACAGATTCGCATTGTCTTGACTCAGCCCGGAATCTATGAGTTTGCACCGTCGTCCTCAATGCCCCAGGTTTGGAACTTCTGGGATTTGTGATTTTTACAAAGGGGGTTTATGGTTTACGGTTCAGGGTTTGGGGGGGTTATGACCTACGTTTTAGAGCTCGGAGTTGCAGCCTGCAACCGGTAGTGCCAAGCAGCGTCGCCAGCTTTCCCATGCTCTGCTTGCGACGGCCACGCCATGTTGCCAAAGCGGTGCCTGCATAGACTGGATATCCCCCGTAGCTGTATGGATCCTCCAAAACCCTGCCTAAACCCTAAACCCGAAACCCGCAAACCCTAAACCCTGAAACCTAAACCCTAAAACCCTGCCCCCAAAACCTCAAACTCTAAAGCCCTAAACACTTAACCCTGTGGCCTCTTCTCATGGGCTGCAGCTGCCAAGCATCGGAGAAAGTCCTCGGTTTCTTTGGGTCGTCTCCGGGTTGAAGAATTCTATAAGGGATCTAGGGCGCCTATATATTGGGGTTTTAGGGTTTGGGTTTGAGGAGGCCGGGTCTCTGCTTTGGCCTTTGGGGTTTGAGTGACTTTAAGGGTTGGGGTTTGGTCAAAAACAAAAACCATGGAACTCAAAGGTTTGGAAACAATGGAACCGACAAACATAGGCAACGTCACAACTCAATGCAAAAATCCTGAGAGATCAACCAGGCTCAAAAAGACAAAAGAAGTTTCAGGCACAAAACCCTGACATGGCGCCCGTACATAATATGGGGCCTTAACAATTAGAATAGTGTTTTGGGGTATATTTTACAAAAAATATAATAAGGAACCCCCAAAATAGTATAGGTAATGATTTAGGCCCCTATATTAATCAAGCCAGTGACACCAGCATAAAAGCATCTTCCGCAGTAGCTGGGCTCGCAAACAGCCCACCATCATCAACATTAAAAGGATTTCACCATGGCGTGGTGGACAAAACAGAGGAGCATCATCAGAATCAGCTGGACGTGTCGCTGGCACAGTGAAGCACAGTGGCGAGCATGATCCGCTGGAAAACTGCATAGCTTCTACAGTCAACCGACAAGGGCATGGCGCAGCTGCATCTTCAGCATGAGTTGGGCTTTCCTTCGACCACAGGGCGAACATGATCAGCATTTTCCGGGCTTGCAAACAGATGAGCATCGTCAGCATCAAACGCAATTCCTCTTGGCGCGGTGTTTCCAAGCCGAGCATCATCAGCGTCAGCTCGATATTGCGAGCGTCATGAGCATCAGATAAGGCCTGTCTTTGTCAGAGTGTCACAGTAAATCCACATCGCACGGCTCGGATCAGCATCAACCGGGAACAAGACCCCCGCCAGCATAATCAACATCAGATGGATTCCCTCATTGTGCAATCTAGTTCCCACGGCGAGGCAAATGCCCTAAAGATCTACAGAACAACCAAGCAGGAGTGTTGCACAAGCATGGTGAGCATCATTAGCATCAGCTCGGATTGCCTTTGCCATGTCATAACCCAACCTCGAGCTTTATCAGCGTCAGCTCGAATGCCTTCGGCACAGCCCCCGAATGGCGAGCATCATCAGCATCACTGCGCTTGTCTTTTGCCATGCTACACCCGAGCCGAGAGCATCATCAGTATCAGCTCGGGTTGCCTTTGCTAGCGGCTCTCACCTGGCGAGCATCAATCACGAGCATCATGAGCATCAGCTCGGCCTGCCTTGGACGAAATCGCGAGCATCATCAGCATCAGCTCGGCTTGCCTTTGTCATGGCACAACCACACCGCGAGCTTCACCAGCGTTAGCTCAGCTTGCCTTCGGCGCAGCGCCGATGCTAAACCCAAACTGGGAACAGCCTTGGCCACAAGAACCAAATGGGGAGTGTTTTGAGCATCAGCCAACCAGCAGGAGAGAGGACGAAACGAAGCTCGGATTGCGAATGCCACGGCCATCACCCAACTGACCAGCATGATCGACATTAATTAGTGGGCTTGCCATTGCAAGCTATGGTACACCCAAGCTGTGAACATCATCAGCACCAGTCGGGTTGCCTTTGCCACAAGGGCGAGCAGAATGAAATTCAGCAGACCGTGGTAAAAGAAACAAACACGAGCATCATGAGCATCAGCTCGGCCTGCCTTTGACATGAGGCCGGCAAGTCGCGAGCATCATCAGCATCAGCTCGGCGTGCCTTTGTCATGGCATAGCGACACAACCAAACAGCGAGCATCATCAGCATCAGCTCGGCTTGCTCTGCTATGGCCATCAGCTGTCGGCTTGTCCTTGCAAGCCATGGTACGCCCAAGCCGTAAACATCATCAGCATCAGCTCGGGTTGCCTTTGCCACAAGTTCGCGGATGGTGAGCATCATCCGAATCAGCGGACCGTGGTAAACAAGAACCACAAGCATCACGAGCATCAGCTCAGCCTGCCTTGAGCATGAGGCCCGCAAATGGCGAGCATCATCAGCATCAGCTGAGCTTGCCTTTGCTTTGGCATAACCAAACCCGGAGCATCACAAGCATCAGCTCGGATTGCCTGTGGCACAGCTAGGGCTCGAATCGACATTGTGAAATCGCAAGACTCATCAGGACTCATCAGGGAGGAACAGCCAAACAGCGAGAATCAGCAGCAACAGTTGGAATGAGCAACAGCTGGATTTCCGCCTTGTGGTTTGGTGAACCAAACAGGCGAGCATCATCAGAATCGCTGCCGAAACGCAAGCATCATCGACAATAAGTGGAATTCCGCTGAACGCTTCTCCGAAATCCGAAACTTTCGACAACAAATCCACAACCACTAAGCCCTAACCCAAACTCCTCACCTGCTTAACCCCACAAACTAGAATACATGCTTCAACCCTATGCGGTCAAGCCGCGCCGCATTAGCGAAGACATTGCACGGCCTCGGAACCGTAACCTGGGGCTTTGAGGGATTGGGGCCACTAGGTTGATAAGCACGGAGTATCGTTAATTTCCCCAAGCCTCGAATCCAACAGCCTCAGGGACCCCAAACTCTGCATCCCGGATTTGGGTTGCAGGGTTTCGGGTTGAGGGTTCAGAGTTTCTGGTCTAGTTTAGTATTTAGGGCGTGGGGTTTAAAGCTCAAACAACTTCGAACCTCAGATCAATCAAAAAGATCCCGCTTTCCAACAAAACGCACACTTCTTCAAGGTTGAAACCCGACTTTTAGTACTTGGTATTATTACAACCTAGATATTGTACTATGGTATACTGCATTCTGCAAGGTTGAAACCCGAACAATCGCATTGTACCGTACATTAATGTTGTACAATGTTGTAGTATTTTGCATTCAGGGTACTGCTATTGGCGTACTATTAGGGTTGTCCCTCTCCGTCATACACCTAACATATAGAATCGACAAGAGAATTCGTAATCTGCCTTGCCTGCCCACCAACAGCCGGCACACAGCCCGGCCATCCCCCAGGCGGCACAGCCATGGCTTCAGATTTGGGAGCTTTTGGGGCGTGCAGTTCCGATTGCTGTGAGGGAAGCCGCAGCTTTCGACGCAGATGCAGCTGGCTCTCGGGAAGGAAACTTCTCTGGCTGCTCCGTTCAATTACAGTCGACATTCGAGGTATCGAATCCTTGCGGAGGTTTAGGACTTCGGGTTTCTGGTATGGTGGCTTTAAGAGCCACTGCGACGAGGGTTGTGGTGTGTGCGTGTGCGCGCGCAGTATTTTGAAGCTTTTTGCTATGAAAGGCCCTGAGCGGGGGTTTCCTTGCCTTAGGCCGAAAGCTCCAAAGACTTGGGGTTGAGTTTCCGGCATGAAAGCTCTTAGTGGAGTATGATGGGAGGCGAAAAGGGGGGTTTAAGATTCTTGGGGTAGGGATTCCTTCATATGAACCCTATTATGGGAACCAATCCCTACCAAACCCCCACAGGCTAAAGCACCTTTTGGCCTCCTATGAGAGCAGAGTGGTCTTAGGTTCGCCTTGGCGCTTCGGCTAGCTCGCTTCAGAAAACCAGGGTGTCACACAAATGAAGAAGCCGACCCCTAACCCCAAACTATGAAACCCCTCAACCCTAAACTTTTAAACCCAGTGCACATCGACAGCCGGCCTTCCTCCTCTAAAGGTCTTAACTGTCACCCGTAAGAACGGCTCCAACCCCAAACCACACAGGAAGCAGGGATCTGAGGAATATGCGACTCGTCCTCATCACCGGACTCCGCACCATCCTCTTCTTCCTCCGACAAGTTGCCTTCAAAGCGCGTGCTGGGACTCTCGGCCGGTGTTGGAGCCCTGGCCCTTGCTAGGGCTTTCGACTGGCCGCTGAACAAGGTCTTAGCTTTCGGTACGGGAGGCTGGCGCAGTCTCCAACAACTCCTTCATGGGGCCTTGCTTCATGCACCCGGTTGCCTGCCAGTCGACGACCACGAGGACATAGACAATCACGCTTGGAGGCACCACACACTAAACCCAAGGCCCGGAGCCCAAGCCGCCAACCGTCAACCCTGAAACCCTTACAGGAACCCCAAAACCCTAAGTAAACGGAACTAACCCTGTTGTAGAACCCTCCGTACCCTTAAAGGGAAGGTTACTACCCAAATGTACCCTTGAAAGGCACCCGTAAGGGAACCTGTAAGGGAACCTTAAACCCTCAAAGGAACGCTAAACCCTCAAAGGAACCCTAAACCCTTACAGGAATCCTAAACCACTTAAAGGAACCCGTAGAGGAGCCCTAAACCCCTTAAAGGAACCCTAAGGCCCTAAACCCTTCAAGGAACCCCCAAAGTACCCTTTAACGGACCCTTTAAGGAAACCCGTAGAGGCAGCAGCAAAACGCCTCGACGCCCAAGGCTTGCGCGCAGCGCCGGGAAGCCTCCGCCGCCGCAGCCAACTCTTCCTGGTAGGGGCCGGGGGTTCCTTTAAAGGGTTCCAAAAACAGGGGTCTTTAAGGATTACTATAAGGGTTGCTATAAGGGTTAAGAGTAGGGGCCTAAATACTTACAAATACCATTTTGGGGGTTCCGTATTATAATTGTAGTCTGACGGGCTGATGACTGTTTTGTAATTACGAAGGCCGCTAGATTTTCTCAGCTGGAGATCCTTAATTGTAAGAAGTTTAGAGAAGTTTCGGAAGGCTTTTTGGTAAGATGTTGAAGCCTGGGAGTGTCCCTTTGGGGCGTTTTTTGCTTTATATAGGAATTACGCCTACTCCTTGTCAAAGGCTCTGTGCAATTTGATGGGAGGCGAAAAGGGGGGTTTAAGATTCTTGGGGTAGGGATTCCTCAATATGAACCCTGTTATGGGAACCCTAATACCTACTAAACCCTTGTAGGCTAAAACCCCTTTTGGCCTCCTATGACAACTATTTTGTAAGGGTCCTCCCAGGGTTGTTCGTGAGGGTTTGATAGGGGCTGTGATAATGGTTGTACAAGTTCTCTTAGGACCTATTCTTGGCTGCAGTTTTAAGGTGATGCTCCATAAAAGCTTCTATCGGACTCTAACATTGGAAAAAGGTAGTATAAGGCTTTGCTGGTGTCATATATATCCAAAGCCTTTTTTACCAGGGCTTTTGTTTGGAGTCTTCTGAGTTTCCAAAGAGTATTGACAAGGTCTTAGAAGGCAACTTGAGGATTCGGGGAGCCTTTGTAAGGTCACAGGAGAACCGCTTCGGGGGTATTATGGGCGTGAGGCCCTACACATGCCCTACAGTACACGTGAGATCTCAAGCACTTCGAGACTCTGACCCAACTTGGAGGATCATGGGACTTAGTGAGTAAGGTTATAAGTACCTTAATTGGGGTCATATGTACAGTTACCCTAGTTATAACCCTAATTACTGAGTCCCATGACCCATTATGTAGACCCGATAAATCCCCTCTTGCAATAGAACCCCTATAGATCCCTTTACAGGAGCCCTTTAAAGTATATCCCTAGTTACTAAGTCCCATGATCCTTTAAGAAGCAACCCTAAGCCCTGGACATCGAAACAAACCACGAACAACCGCAGAGCCTTCACTGCAACCGCCGGGTTGAGAGCCCCCTCCAACTAACCCCAAACCCCTCAACCCCTAAACCCGAAACCCCTAAACCTAACCCCTACCCCCTGAACCCCTAAACCCCTAAACCCTAAACCTAACCCCAAAAAATCCCGAAGCCCAAAACCGCTTTGCAGATCCTTCCCTCCACCCTGAAACCCTCAACCCTAAACCCTACACCCGGGTGCCTGGGTCTCGCTGCTGCTCTCGCAGAGCATGGGCCAAAGCATAGCGCAAGACTCGGAAGTGCGGCGACCGTCCTGGACCACCTCCAACGGGTATGCAAAAAGATCTTGATCAGAAATGGTAGGGTTAATGGTCTTGAAGGTGTTAAAATGTCGAGGGCCGTAGAGAAAGATGTAGTTGTGCTCTCTTCTGCTGGATATGGGGCTTCTTCAAGTCTGGCGTACCGTGGCTTTTGAGTCTAGGGGTCCATACATGTTGGGGTCTATACAACGAGAAACCTACTCCTGTGTGGCTGTTGTGGTTTTGCAACAGTCTGGATAATGGTCTAGTAAAGGTGTTTTGATGGGACTTGTTTTGGATTTGGATTTCCCGGGCAGTGTGTTAGGGATTCTTGCGTTCAGGGTAATGACGCTGGATGCACTGCTTCAGCGACTATTCACCTGAGCCTGACCCGCAATGACACCAACAGCCCCAAACCGGAGGCATTCGAAACAACACCTGCTAAACAGCCAAGAGCCTTTGCATGTATGGTGTAGGTATAGAAGGTACACTCTTCATGATGCAACTCCAGTCTTGCAAACAGCCGTGCACTCCGGGGTGGTACCAAGGCCCTGGCGTTCCCCTGCTTGTCCTCACACTATCAGGAATCGAGAATCCTCTCCTAGTACGACCTCAACAACAGAGTCTCATAGATAATGTTATTGTCTGTTCTAGCTCGCGTCCCCGCAAACTCTAGACCCTGAACCTACGCGATGCCTATCCGGGTCTATGCCAGACCAGCACTACAATCGAACGAAAGCACTGATTCAGTTTAGCCAAATCCTGAGAAAGCTAGCAAAGCACAAACAGACATTTGTATATGTATATGCATAAGTGTGTAGCATGCGTACATATGTATGTACATATTTGTATGGATCTGTCAATATCTATATCTATATATCCATGTATATGTATATGTCTATGTCTATGTATATGTATGTATATGTATATATATATATATATATATGTATAGATACGTTCATCGAGCGGGAGAGCGTGCACGTGTAGAACACAACGGACAGAGATACTACTACTCTACTGTTCTGCTATTCTACTATTCTGCTAATCCCTTCCCCCTTTCTATTAGACACCCCGTAATAATGACGACGCACATCGGGGCGAATCCTCCCGAAATCATCCCTGCCCTTTAAAGCCTATTCCGAATAAGGGGGAGGGTTTCAAGGCTCCAGATGCCCTGAGCAAGAGCAAAAGCGGGAGCATCAGCAAGAGCAGCAGCAAGAGCAAGGCAAAGTAAGTGTGGGAGTAAGAGCAGGAGCAAAAGCGGGAGCATCAGCAAGAGCAGGAGCAGGGGCAGGAGACGCAGCAGAAGCAGGAGCAAAAGCTAGCGCGGGAGCAAGAGCCAGAGCAGGAGCAAGAGCACGACCCTCAGAAGTGGCAGTAGACAATGAAAAACACTATTACTAAAAACACTTCCGAGTTTCTATGGGGGGTGGCCCCTTAGCGGAAGAGATTGTTCTGCCATTCTGCTACCCGACTACTACTACTACTACTACTACTACTACTACTACTACTACTACTACTACTACTACTACTGCCACCACCATCACCACCACCACGACCACCACCACGACCACCACCACGACCACGACCACCACCACGACCACCACCACGACCACGACCACGACCACGACCACGACCACGACCACGACCACGACCACGACCACGACCACGACCACGACCACGACCACGACCACGACCACTACCACTACCACTACCACTACCACTACCACTACTACTACTACTACTACTACTACTACTACTACTACTACTACTACTACTACTACTACTACTACTACTACTACTACTACTACTACTACTACTACTACTACTACTACTACTACTACTACTACTACTACTACTCCTCCTACTACTACCACAGAGACGACGACTAGTTACTACTACTACTACTACTACTACTACTACTACTACTACTACTACTACTACTACTACTACTACGACTACTACTACTACTACTGCTACTACTACTACTACTACTAGTACTACTACTACTACTACTACTACTACTACTACTACTACTCCTACTACTACCACAGAGACGACGAATGCTACTGCACTGCGATGACTACGACGACGAGGAGGACAAGGACGACTGCTGCTGCCGCCACGACCAGAATCATCACCACTACCCCAGCAGCAACGAACTACAACAACTACAGCTACGATGCTTTCAATTACAAGTGCGATTGCAACTGCGGCAGCACCAAGCTATCCGACCTCTGCACTGAAGAGGCACTAGGTTCCAGAGTAGGCCCTTTATAATCAGGGCATCCTTTGTCCCACTATTCTGTTGTAATAAGGGAAAGGGCACAAGGGTACTGCTCACGCACCTAGGACAAGCTGCGGGTCCTTTTGCAGGCTGGCCGTGAAGCCCTGCCGCTGCTCGCAGAAGCCAAGGAGCTTTTCGAGTTCGAAGGGCTCAAAGAGACCTGGTTTTTGCTGGTTCTCGTTAACTTACCCCCCCAATAAGCCACAGAAATGGAATGTTAAACTTTCCGATTTCTACTAAACTATAAGAACCCAAAAAGTTAACAGTTTGGGTATTTGGGATCTAAGTCAATGAGCAGCGACGGCAACGTTTAAAGTTGTTTCTTGTGAGCCGTATCGAGTATAGTTCTGGTGAGAGCAGCATTGAACTTTTGATGATGACTTCCGGCTATCTGTAGACAGCTTAACACCTCGGTAGATTGGCTTCAGACTTGTCATGTCATGCTTTGCTTTGTGCTATATAACAGGAGAAGAGTCGAGTTTCGGCTGCTCTGCCAGGTCACTGTATTGAAACCCACTTGGGTGGTTGTCAAATTTCTGGTCCCTTTTTGGGTACCCTAAGTAATAGCTGCCGTACTATAGTAGGGACGCAAAAAGGGACCTTAATTTTGACAAACACCCATGTAGGCTTTCAGGGAGAAGGGCTTGCCGGCCAGGGCCAGCGTCAGCTTTGGGTGTGCTGCTTGAAACTGAAGCTCCTAATGAACGACCAACCAGCAGGAGATACTACAGAGGGGCCTGAATAACCATAATCGGATTTGGGAGGATAGTATAGTGAACTAATACCGCGTCTATAAGTGCAGAGTATTACCAACTATCGCTGCGCAGACCCGTCAAAAGTCCAATGAAACCCTATGAACACCATCAGACCCTTTGTTCCGTTCCCTAAACCCCAAACCCGGTAAAGCCCAATAGAGCCTTCCTTACTCGTTATTCGTACAATACAGGCCCCCCGACCTTCCACAAGTGTGACGTCCAACTCCTGGCAGTATCTCTGGGTTTGGATTCTACGAGTTGGTGTAATTGTTTAAGGTCCAGAGCAGTTTGGGTGTTGGGTTCGGGGTATGGGGCCCGAACCATTTGTAGGTCAGGGGTCAGGGGATTGAGGGCTTAAGGTATAGGGTATGAAGGGCTTTGCTTAAAACGATAAATTAACCCTAAACTCGTGCGATTGCCTTTGCAAAAAAAATGAGCACAGGCTATTCTCTTGAAGTTTTAGCTCCAATGTAGGTTGAGGCTTAAGGAATCGGGTGACCTTGGGAAGTGGGGTTGTAGGCAAGGCAAGTCACTGTCACAGCGTTATAACCCAAGAAAAGGAACTTGGAATCCAAATTGCTGTGTCCCCTCCTCTAACAACAGCCCCCAGCAATTAGCACCTTACTCCCCCTATAAGCCACCGAGATGGAAGGTTAAACTTTCCGATTCCTACTGAACTATAATAACCCAAAAAGTTATATAAAGGTTTGGGTATTGGGGATCTAAGGCACCTCAAAGAGCCCGATCTCATCGTCGGATGACTGATTGGGAACCAGACTGAACAAACCACCGCCCTGGGTTTTGAGAGTTGGGTACTGGCCCCAACCCCCGAAACCCCCAGCCTCCTTAAACCGCCACCCTAAACATTCGACACCCCGCATTCTCCAAGGGTCCCAGCCCTTACTAGATGATTTGGGCCCCTAACTTGAAAAGTGTACAAGATGCTGTTACTGGCACCCCTTGGCCCTTTTTACTACAATTGTACTAGATGCTGTTACTGGCACCGCTTGGCCCTTTTTACTACAATTGTGCTAGATGCTGTTACTGGCACCTCTTGGCCCTTTTTGCTACCGTCAGAGCGAGCACCGGTCCTCCTCCCCGGTAAGGCGCCGGAAGACGACCCGGCGTCCGGCCGCGGAGACCACCCTCGTCGGGCTCGGCAAAGGCAATGTCTTCCCATGTCGGAGCACCTGACTGAGTGCAGAGTAAGGGCTCCTTTAAAGGACTCCAGAAGGGCTACTTTTAGGGCTCTATAAGAAAGGGTTAAGGGTTCCAGAAGGGCTACTCTAAGGGGTCTATAAGACAGGCTCCTTTAAAGGGGTCCATAGGAGCTACTCTAAGGGGTCTGTAAGAAAGGGTTTAGTACGAGGAGGTCGAGGCTACGTGTATCAGGTTTATTGCAGCATGGTTTTTGTGGAATCAACTCATGACTTAGCCCTCGTCCCGTGCCGTAGTTCAAGTAACATCTTATAGTATTGATTGTTCAAGCCCCCGTGCTAATCCGAAGCTTCAAATCTTAGCGAACGCTTGCGATTGGATGGTATCAGGCAGTGGGCCTTCGGTGCTTCGACTGGTAGCTGGTTGCACCTGAACCCCTCGGCTTGACTCTGTAGCCCTGTGCCCCGGGAAACTTAAGTTCAGCATCGAACAATCGCAACACCCTATCCCGAGACATCCGTCATCCAACAAGGCCCAGAAGGAAAGGTGAAAAGGTCCCTGGTCCTCGCATCCCAAAACCTCAAAACCTAAACCTTCCCAAGACCATGGAGATCCTCTGCACTCTCTCACTGAGCCCTGGTAGGAGGCACGTTGTTTTAGGATTAGGGCTTGGGGTCTTCATATAGGTGCCTGATCAGTAAGAAGGAAGTCTGGGATTATTTGTAGTATTGCTGTAATAATGATGTGGTGGAGCCTTAACCCTAAGGGTTCAAGTACCCGATTATCATATACTCTCCAAAATAGCAACCTACACAACTACCAGCCGAAAACCGAATACCTAACTATTGGGGCCTTTGCACCCTTAGGGTAAGGGAGAGTGTTACCAGTGACCCCGACTCCTTTAGCAGAAACTTTTGCAAACTCCGAGTTCCTTGCTTGGCCGCTCTGACCATTGCGGACCTGCCACGATGACATCGCATACAGGGAACCAGCCAACCAGCTTGTGACATACTGATGCATAAGATGTTTTGATGAATGTAATGTGGGTGTCTGTTCAAGCTGGTAATGTGTGCTTAGGAAACTAGGTGGCGAGAGTTTGCGGCGTGCCTCTGGAAGGGAGTGGGGGGGAGATCATGAGAAACACTGTACAAGACACAAGTCATGTGAATGTCTCTGTGACACAGCTCTGCTACATGTTCCGGCACGCCACGAGATTCCTCCAACATCTCTGCGTCGGGCGGCTGCAATTTTTCTGACAACACTACACAAGCCCATAAGTTTCCTAGCGTCCTTGAATGAAGCGATTACAGGGCCCATCTTTCTACGCATGACGAGGCGACGGCCACGAGACCACAATCCTGAACCCTCCACAGGAGCTGCTGTCAAGATCGGCAACCTGAAGGAACCAAGCTCCCGCAAATGTGAAGTTGTCGAATCCCACTGCATGAAACGGTATCATCCTCACCACAAACATTACCCCAAAGCGCTGAAGCCAAAAACCGATCCCCCTGAACCCTAAACCCTAACCCTAAACCCCTAAACCCCTAAACCCCTAAACCCCAAACCCCAAGCCCTAAACCCTAAACCCTAACCCTAAACCCTAAACCGTGTCTGCTGCTTGCCAGGGCACATCGAAGCCTCCTTTCATCTCCGCATCCCACCAATCGTAAGGCGCACGGCTTTCAGACCGTCTCGCCTGACCTTGCTCACTTGCAAGTCATATGTCTTTTTTAATGGTTCCGGCACTAAAATATGATGTATAATATACAATAGCATAACGTAATATTATATGATAGAACTTGAATGACAAGAATCTTGAGTTGCAAGTTTGGGGTGTACGGGTCAGTAGTGGAGCAGAGGATTTCACGTGCCTTCTGGGGGATGGGTTGGGACGTCACGTGATCTAGGGGCCTTACTACAGAGGAATGGGGTTCCTTTAAAGGGGTCTATATAAGGGGCACTATAAGGGATCTATAAGGGTTCTATAAGAAACCTCATAAAGTTGGAAACTGGATTAAGGCCAAATAGTGCTGGGACTCCCTATACATTACTCTTAAAGATGGAGGCTCTGGGGTTTCCAATTCTCGGGCTTCTGCTGTAATCAGAATAGGGTTTTGCGGTACATTTTACTATAACTATAATAAGGAACCCTCAGAATAGTATAGGCAATTATTTAGGCCCCTATATTACATTCTACTGTGACGGGGGAGGAAGGAATGACATGCAAGCTGCACCCACAAAGAAAGCTTTGACTCCTCGATATTCAGGATATCGCTCCGCGGCATCTTAATATCCATTCATAGAAGACTACAACGGGATACTGTTACCAGCCGCTTTTTCAGGCCTCTGCTTTCAGGCTTGCTCTCAGAAGTTAAAGGTTCGTTCGATGCCGGGCCTTCCCATCGGCAGCCTTCTTTGAATTTTCAGAGAGGTAGGATGAAGGATCCCTTATACAAGGACTCTTTACTGGGAATATCCCAACTACCTTCATCCCATCTTTGGAACCCCGTGAAAGTTGGCACCGTGGGGAGAGCAGCGCCAAGAACGTAGATCTTGCGGCTTCTGCTTCGGAGGATTAAGACGTCCACTGACATACCTACCCGAAAGCCAAAACAATATACCCTAATGAATTAAGCTGTATTAAGAATTACAGTATAAAGCAGTATACTATATATAGCCTTCAACCGCCCTGCAAAGTTCCTGGCACGAAGGGTTTCCTCGGAGGCCTTTCCTGACAGATCCTGCGACAGACCCGACCAGTCAAAGCCTGCCATAAGCAAAACAGCTTAAATACCCTAAACTCTAAACTCCTAACCCCTAAACCCTGACCCCTTAGAGCTCCTAAACCCTAAACCCCTAAACCCTAAACTCTAAACCCTAAAGCCGTAAGAACCCTAAACCCCAAGTAGACCGAAAGCTCCCCCGAGATAAAGCCGTATAAGCCCGGAGCCCGCAAACTAGCTTCATAGTATCCTTAAGGGGGGGGGGGGGGGTCCAAGGGGGGTATATAGCCTAGTGATCCCTAATTCTCCCTAGTACTCCCTAAGATTCCCTTACAGTCCCCTAAGGATTCCTTATACCCTCCCGCCTTGAACCACCCTCCCTTAAGGATCCTATAATAGCTTCTGTGTGCACTTGCCGACTGACACTGACTTGAAGCAAGATCCCAGACCCACTTGAAGCACTAAACCCAAAACAAAATAACAAAATGTAACCTACGATTTAGAATATAACTTAACACAACATACTATTTCTAAAACATGGGAGTTTCCGAAAATAGGGGACCCTGATATAGTATCCGAAAAAAGGATCCTTATTACAAGGACGCTGAAATAAGGCACCCCTTGTTTCAGGACCTTCGGACACTGCCACATAACCTTCAACCGACCAACCTCCAAACTGAAGAGCCCTTGACTTGCAAAGATCGGTCGTATGTGAGGCAAAGATCTCTTCGCGCGATGGTCCAGGACGGACTGTCGCCAGTTGTCCAGGCCGACGAGAACTTGCCTGCCCACGCTAGGGTTTAGTATCACATTCCGGGTTTAGGGTTTTGCATCACAATCAGGGTGCAGGGTTTAGTATCAAATTTAGGGTTTACCTTAATTAACCCACCATAACTTACACTTTATAGGGACTTATATAAGGAATCATACTGGTTAGAGGAAGGTTTTATAGGGTTCAGGTAGGGTTTAGGATTACATTTAGGGTATACGGCTGAGTGCGAAAGCTTACACCCCCAAGGCCTGAGCACTAGCACAAATTAACACGCTATGGCCGCACGGTTCGCTGTGGCAGACTTTAGGGGCTTCGCGTCAGGAAACCTTACCTAGACCCCCGGGAGGATCCGAAAAGTAGATCTCTTAATGGGGTTCCCATAAAGTACCCTTAGTAGTACGGGGCCCCAAATTAGGGGACCTACTTTCTGGATCCTCCCAGGGGTCTGGGTAGCGATAGTTTTCCTAAACGAAATGTCGGTCACTCACTTCTAAACCTCCCGCCGTTGCATTGGTTGAGAGGATTCACATACTCGCGAAAACCTTGAGTGCCTGTGAATCTCTTCTACCACAGACTTTCACAAACCCTGGAGGTTCATGGGCAGTTATAAGTGGGATTAGAAGTCCCCTAATATGGGGTATGATATTGGTTACCCTACTGAGAACCCCACTTATAAGTACCCATGAACCTCCAACTAGACCAAGCCCGGAATTCCTCAGAACTGCTGAGGTTTGAGTACCAGCGAGCCTCTGGAGCCAAGGTCTGGGAAGACTTAGGGGTTTAGGCGGCCCTACTTGGAGGATCATGGGACTTAGTAAGTAAGGTTATAGGTACCTTAACTGGGGTTATAAGTATAGTTACCCTAATTATAATCCTAGTTACTAAGTCCCATGATCCTTTAAGTACACCCTAAACCCCCTTAGTCAAAAAAGTTTAGGGGTTTCGGGGGGTGCGGCTCAAGCGCTAGGGCCAGGGCGCTATGGCAACACCATGGCGTCTTAGCGCCCGAGCCCGTCTAAACCTAGGTAAGCTGGAAACCTATCCTGTGCAGCCGCAAACAACCTATTAACCCAGGCAGGAGCACCCCCTACAGCCTAAGCCCTGTAATTGCCCTAAATCCTGAAGCCTTAATGCTCTGCATTCCTGATCACATCACCTTTATACACCTCAAATTCCAGGACCCCTGAACCCTAAACCCTCAACCCTCACCCCTAAACTCTAGGCCCTGCCACCCAACCCCCAAATCCCAAGCGCACCCGTTGCCTTGCGAAACGTGCTTCTTCTGCACGGTGGCTGCCTGGGGCTCAGAAGGAACTCGGAGGACTCAAAACCGAAACCGAAATGCACTTTACTTGGAGGTTCATGGGTAGATATACGTGGGGTTATAAGTAAGGTAACCATAATTACCACCCATATTAGGGGACCTATAACCCCACTTTACAACTACCCATGAACCTCCAAGTAGGGCAGCACTCTAGAATTGAGGGCTCAAGCCGGTGATCCTAAACCCTGGAAGACTGCCGAGACTCCTCTCACTCTCTCTCTCTGTCTCTCTGTCTCTCTGTCTCTCTGTCTCTCTGTCTCTCTGTCTCTCTGTCTCTTCGTCTCTCTGTCTCTCTGTCTCTCTGTCTCTCTGTCTCTCTGTCTCTCTGTCTCTCTGTCTCTCTCTCTCTCTCTCTCTCTCGCTCTCTATCTCTCTCTCTCTCTCTCTCTCTCTCTCTCTCTCTCTCTCTCTCTCTCTCTCTCTCTCTCTCTCTCTCTCTCTCTCTCTCTCTGCATATAAAAACACGACATGTGCAGGGAATACATCAACGCATATGTGTGTATATATATACACACACAAAAACCAATGTATATATACATATATATATATATATATATATCCATATACAGATATATGTTTTTTATACACACATATGTAGAGAGAGAGAGAGAGAGAGAGAGAGAGAGAGAGAGAGAGAGAGAGAGAGAGAGAGAGAGAGAGAGAGAGAGAGAGAGAGAGCGAGAGCGAGAGCGAGAGCGAGAGCGAGAGCGAGAGCGAGAGCGCGAGCGAGAGCGAGAGCGAGAGCGAGAGCGAGAGCGAGTGCGAGTGCGAGTGCGAGTGCGAGTGCGAGTGCGAGTGCGAGTGCGAGTGCGAGTGCGAGTGCGAGTGTGTGTGTGTGTGTGTGTGCGTGTATCTAGCGATCTGTCTATCGAGCTATCTATCCATCTCCGTGTCTGTCTGTCTGTCTACCCATCTGTCTGTCGGTTCCTATCTATCTACCTACCTATCTACCTATCTGAGGTGAACAGTTAGATCGAGGGATTGATAGGTAGATAGGTAAGTAAGCATGTAGGCAGATAGATAGATAGAAAGATCGATTACAGGCGTGTCTAAAGCCACCTTGGCTTCGGAGCTTCCCTGCCGTCCAGGGACTGCGGTCGTAGCGAGCCGAATCTGCAGGGAACCAGAGCTGGGGCACCGAGGTGTCGAACAAGTCGGCGGTGATATCCTGGTGCGGTTTAGGCAAGTTTAGGCCTTAAGGGTTCATTGTTATTACAGTTTTGGTTTTTGTCGGTTCCTTTCCTCCTCGCCTAGGGTTTAAGGGTTCAGCGTTTCCGGTCGTTATGTTAGGGTTTTAGGGCTTTACAGAGTAGGGTCTTCCAAGGTACCAGAGTCCGCAAGGACCCCGTTCGAATATAACAGAGTGTAGTCGGGGATTTCAGGTTTGGCTTCGGGTAAGGACTATCCTTTGAATCATCTTAGGGCTCCTATTGTAATTTGGGGTATTCCTGTAAAACTGGGTTTTGGATTCTCTTGGAACCCTTGGGCTTGAAGTCTGTCTCTCCGGATGATGTAGGAGCCTGATTAAGAAACCCAGCATGTTTAAATTCATCACCCGAATAAAGACCCAGGGGTTCTTGACCAGGTTCCTATATTGCAATGGATCTTTAAAATATCAGCCGCCTATCCACACAAACGGCAAGCGGCCAGGCGTGTCTTTGGGCCGGCTCTGTCTGTCTTCAATTGTTTTTAACATGTCAGCCTGTCTGCCTGTATGTTCACGCGCCGTTGTAGAAGTTCTGCAATCATACCTCTGCTCTAAGACAGGTGCTCGAAGATCGTATCAACCCGTTCCATGGCACCCATGTCGTGTCAGCACGCTAAACCCAGAATTTTAGAACCCATTCCGTCCACTTCCTGCTCCCTGTCAATGCTCTTCGTGTTTCTGCACGGGGTCTTCATCATCGTAGGACACGTGGCCTCCTCGAATATCTGCATCCTTGAATGCTACAGACCCAATTCCCGGAAAGCCACCGAAAGACCGAGAGAGGTTCGGGTTGTGAGGGTCTTCATGTTTAGGCCTAAACCCTGAACCACAAGTACCCAAATCCTGAGGCCGTGAACCCTGGAAAACCTTAAAGTCAACCTGAAGCCCAATATTATCCTAAATTCCTAATCACCTCATCTCTTAACCCAAACCCATGCTGCCCCATGCAGAACAAGTTTCCGCGATTGTGCCATCTTCGAAGAGGATGAAGGAGTGGTAGGCCCAGTCCTACACGAAAGGTTATAGGTCTGAGGGTTTGGGTTGTGGGGTTTGGGCCCAGTCCTACATGCAAGACAAATTTCGATAACCTCGCGGTTGAATCCCTGGCTAGAAATGAATAGGACAAAACTACAAACCCCTCCCACAAAGACGAACGAACACCAACAACCACCAAACTACAATTAGGTAGGAATGCTTACCTACTTGTCGGGTATCATGGGGAACTACAGGTCAACCGTTTTGGTTATATAGGGGTTATATAAGGACTCTACTACCCAAAAAAGGGTAAAGGTTGCCTACTCTAGTACTAGGCTTGTAGTCAAACGATGTATCCTCCGGCTCGATGCTTTTCCGGAGCCCTAAACTTAAACAAGCCTTCAAGCTTCCGTTAAACCCCCCAGGTTTCACACCCCAAGCCATGAACGCCCCAAGCCTGCTAAGGGTTTTGGGATTGGGGGTTTTGAACTTTCTATTTTTTTGAGGGCTCTTTTCCGAACTGCAGAGTGTTTAGAGCTTAAGGTTTAGGGTTAGGGGTTTAAGGGTTTAGGGCTTTGGGGGTTTACGGTTTAAACCCCCACGCCTACCATAGATCCCAAACCCTGATACACCCATTAATGCCCTAAGCCCTAGGATACTCTAAATCCTACAATCCCTAAACCCTCGAATCCCTAAATGCTCGGGTCCTGATAAGCACTCGGCCACCAGGGCATTCGCTCGGTGCTCGCGAGGAAGCTCCCGTGGACCACACTGGCAGCTTTGGATGCTGTACTATAGGGGCCGTAAAAAATTGGACATGGGGTTCGGGGAATATTATACGAGGAAAGGAAAATATGTGCATATATGTACTCGTTCATGTGTCTATATACATATATACACATAGAATCATGACAGGGAACCCCCAAACAGTATAGGCGATTGTTGAGGCCCCTACACTAGTTTAGGGTTTAGAGTTTAGTGTTATCAGAGGGCTTTAAAGGAGTTTCTTCAAGGGTTCTCTAAAAGACTAAGGTTTTTTTGGTGTAGGGCTTTGGGGCAGTAAGAGTTCAAGGCTGCCTGTGTTGGGCGCAGGGCTTTGCCTGTAGAAAAGGCCCTGTGCTCGAAGAGCTGCAAGTGTTATAGGGGTTTAGACTGCGCCACTGCTGGCCGGCTTTTGAGCTCAAACTCCTCTCAACACCATTACAGGGGCCCAAATAGTGAAACAGGGTTGGAGGGCACATGATAGTACAGCTATACGAAGGAACCCGGAGGAACGGCGTGGCCCCTACCTGCCCGAAGAGGCCTCAAAGCATTTCGCAGCCAAAGTAATGTAGGGGCCTCAATAATTAGAACAGGGGTTTGGTGTATATCGTAGCAGAGTATGAGGAACCCGTCGTAATCAGACTGGCAATGGCTGCACACCTTAACCATTATAGTAACCCTTGTTACCCAGACCCTCGGGAGGATCTAGAAAGTAAATCCCCTAATTTGGGGCCCTATACTACTAAGGGTACTTCATAGGAACCCCCATTAAGGGATCTACTTTTTGGATCCTCCCGGGGGTTGTGGGTATGGAGCCCCCTAAAGCAAGCCTTACAGTGCCCTGAGTTTGCAGGATTCAGGCTTCCACTTATGTAAGTTTATAGTTATGACCCTGAACCCTAAACAAAACGCCCTAAACCCCTGAACCTTATACTTCGTTGCTGAGTTCATAGGCCCCAAAAGTGTACACTTTTGTTTTTATAGTGGGTAATATTTTCCCAAAAAGTGTAAAGTGTATCCACTCAGCTACTAAGTATAAGGAAGCCTAGGAATCACATTGGTCTTAATTTAGGCTTCCATACTTAGAGGATGATGGGACTTAGTAACTGGGGTTATAACTAGGGTAACTATACTTATAATCCCAACTAAGGTACTTATAACCTTACTTACTAAATCCCATGATCCTCCATTATAGAACCTTTATAGATTCCTTTAAGGAGCCCTTTAGTATAGAACCCTATAGGTACCCTTAAAGGAACTACTAAGTCCCATGATCCTCCAAGTAGTACCCTAAACCCTAACCCCTATAGATCCCTTTAAGGAACCCTATAGATCCCTTTAAGGAGCCCTTTAAGAACCCTTACTAAGTCCCATGATCCTCCAAGTAGTAGATCCGGCCTTGCACTGCCCAGGCCCAGGCGAGTGACCATGCGACTCACTTTCTCACGCGTGAGGATCTCCTTGGGCAGACCCCCGAGGATCTAGAAAGTTGGTTTTTTTTGGATTTAGGAGTTTAGGGTTTAGGGGTTTAGGGTTTAGGAACTAGAAAGTAGATCCCCTAATTTGGGGCCCTTTACTACTAAGGGTACTTCATAGGAACCCCCATTAAGGGATCTACTTTTTGGATCCTCCCAGGGGTGTGGGGAGTGAAGAAGTTTAGATGAGCGTCGTCAGAAGATTTGCGATGCATGGTTGTCGGGAATCGTCGGAAAGCCTCTACTACACCATCGTTCAACCGTGCATGCCCTAAAGGGCCCTTGATCTTGCTAGCACCCGTTGCTCAAACCGTTCGCGTGTCGATCATGTATGTATGTATGTATGTATGTATGTATGTATGTATGCATGCATGTATGTATGTATGTATGTATGTGTGTATATATACATATATAGGCATACATATACAGACACACACACACATATATATATATATATGTATATATATATATATATATATACAGATACTGATGTATATGTATCCATACACCGAATTATACAGATGATCCGATGACTCCCTAGCCTAGTCGGCAAGTGAGCCTTCCTACGCCATTTCCGGTTTGCAGGCTGACAGCAAGTCATGGTGTCCCTTGGTCATGCCTCTAACATCGGAGCCCAAATTACTAGGTTGGCCCTTTAAAGTCTCTGAAAATATCGTAAATAGGGTCCTATTCAGGCCAATAAGGGAAAATGTACAAAGTCCCAAAAGCATATCTAAACTACTATTCCTTAGGGTCCCGGGTCCCTATTCTATGTATAGTATAATAACAATGACCCCCTATCTAAATCCTCAAGATCCCTGTATTAGGTTTCTGACGACTCAGCATGCGGCGCTCTCTCTGATTAGACTCTCAGTCTCGAGGCATTGGGAGTGCAGTCCGTGCCCCAAGGATTTGCAGATTTAGGGTTTCGTTTTTTTTCTCGATTTTGTGGCAAGTCAAGACTGGCGGCACACAAACATACGTCGAGAGAGCGCTGATGCGACAAAAGGCTCGTTCACAAGTCCCCTGCTAAACCCAACCCGAAAGCCTGAACTCTAAACCCCAGACGCAACAAAAGCCTGAGTCTAAACCTTGAACATGCTGGAGCTGAGTCTCGTCGTGCAGCTTCTTCGCAGAAATCTCGTCCATGAAGAGAGGGCCATTACTTCCAGTGTACTGGCGCCTGGACGTTAACATACGGGCCTTAAAGGCGGGATAGGGTTCGGGTGGGAGGGTTTTGTGTAGGGACTGAGAACCAGAAGGGAGGGAACAAGGGCATTGAACAAACATAACGGTTCAGGCACCTGCAGTAGGATTTCGGGCCGAACCTAGCTTCGACATGAACCCAGCAAGGAATTGAAACACTAAACTTAAAACCCTTACAATCATAAACCCTACACTGCACTTTCAAGCCTTAGACCCCAAGCCTTCAACGGTATTGCGGCTCGAAACTTGGAGTCTCGGTGCCCGGAACAGATTGGAGGCCTCGAAAGGTGAGACGAAGGTAGGTAGGATGAAGGATCCCTTTCATAAGGCCTCTTACTTGGGGATTAATTACCACACCTACCTTCATTTTACCTTTCGGGGCCCCAGAACAGAACAACCATCCGAACACTTCTGCAGCTTAACTCGGCAGGAAACTCTAACTCCGAAGCACAGAAGCCTGCAGCCCAGCCCTAAACCCATAAACCCATTTAAGACACCCTAAGACCCCAAACCCCTAAACCCTAAACCCCTAAACCCTAAGACCCCAAACAGAAGGAGCCCTGTCCCTGCCAAAAAAGCGAATGGCTGGCGGGTTCTGGGATCCTGCACATGTAAAGCAAGATCCTGGTACTATGGGTTTGTATACCTCTGGGGTTAAGGATTTGGCCTCTTTTCTTCAGGCCTTTCCGTCTTGGACAAAAAGGGCATCTACAGTTCCCATACTCGCAACCTCCAAAAACACAACGAAATGCAGGGTTGGCGGTAAGGGCGCATGATTAATGCCCGAAGCCCGTATCCCCCAAACCCTCAAGGCCTTGTGTGGTACATGAGGGCCAGAAACTCGAACTCAGGCTGGACCTCATCGTTGGCCGTGGGTAGGTCCGTCCATGAACCTGCAGCTGTGGATTTTTAAAGGTTTCTTGGCACTACAGGAATGGTTTTGCGTACAGATTTCAGGGCTGTCTTGCCTGATTTGGCCTGTTTTGTAAGGAGGATTCAGGATCAGTTTGTACCCTAAAGCCCTACAGATGGAACCACGGTTCCGCACTGTCAAATGTAATTAATGGGATCACAGTCCAACCGCCAACGCCACGTCTTGAAGCTCCAAAATCCTGACTCTCAACCCCGCTTTATTTATGCCCGGGCGACTCAACCCCAAACGCTACTGGGTGTTTCCGAAAACCATGATGCCCTGGCTAGTAGGGACCCTACTACACTGATCAAGCGAAATCTTACAAGAAAAACCATCCAGACGCCAAACCCGTAAACCTTTAAACCACCTAAACCCTAAACCCTGAACCCTAAACCCCTGGACCCCAAACCCTTAGGCCCTGAACCAATAGACCCTGAACCCGATACCCTAAACCCTTAAGCCCTGAACTTTTAAACCCTAAACCCTAGACCCTCAAACCCTACACCCCTGAACCCTGAACCCTTAGACCCTGAACCCTGTACCCTAAACCCTTAAACTTTTAAACCCTAAACCCTAGACGCTTAAACCCTAAACCCCTGAACCCTAAACCCTTAGACCCTGAACCCTCACGCACTAATGTAGGAACCTGAGTAAGAAACCTTGGGCCTGTATTAGGGCTCCTTATATAAATCCTACTGTTTTGGGGTTATAGGCCCAGGATTTCTTGACTTACTCCCCCAACAAGCCACAAAACTACAAGGTTAAACTTTCCGATTCCTGCTAAACTATAAGAACCCAAAAAGTTTAAAGGTTGGGTATTGGGGATCTAGGCTTAAGATCGGCCAAGGCTCAGAGACGCAAAGCCGCAAGGTCCACAAAGCCGGGGATAGGTAGTGCCAGCTGTGCCCAGCCTCTCTCTTTTGGAGACTTGGGGTCTGGTTTAGGGCTAGGGGTTAGGGTTTTAGGGTTAAGGGTTTTAGGGTTTAGGGTTCTAATGCTCTACTCATAGGGTTCTAGGGTTTAAGGTTTTAGGGTTTCAGGGTTTGGGGTTTTAGGGCTGAGGGTTGCAAACTTAAGGTTTCTCGCGTTCACAGAATTCACAGCATGCTCGCCAAAGAAAAGGAACGAAAGTGCTTATCAACCCAAAACCCAATTACTCCCCAAAACCTTCGCTTTTCTTCTCCCAGCAACCAAAAAGGGCAAAACGGGCCATGCAAGGAGAACGTAAACATGTTGGGATTAGTTTCTTGATGTCGAAATCTGGTATAGTGATTTCGGTCAGCAACAAACAAGTTCGGCAACCCGCCCGAGCTTAAGGCGCCGATCGCTTTCGAACCACCCTAAATTAACGAATTTACGAAGCCGGGGCTAGCATCCACGATTTGGCCGATGTCAAGGAGCTCTATGATGGTACTCCAAAGGTCTTCGCCCTTGGACTCATTCCAGTACATCGGCACGGATGCACTGGGCCACTTGGCGGGTGCTTGGGCACTTTCCATCACCTTGACCTTCTCGTTCAGCTGAATGCGTGTGTGGCAACTCTCTGATGTTGGGGGCTGGGACCCCTTTCTTGCAGAACCTGCTTGAAACTCAAGGTTTGATGTTGCTGATGCCGAAGTCGGGCCCCTTGCTATGTATCGCATCATGTTGAACCAGTTTTCCTTCCTAGTTTGCTGCCATGGTCCGAACTTCAACTAGGTTGGCCCTTGAAAGCCTCTGAAAAATATTCGTATATAGGGTCCTATTAATCCCAATAAGGGGAAATATAAAATATCCCAGAGGCCTACCTAGTCAATATCAAGGCACCAGCACAAGATATCAAAATAAAGCCGCGACGACTCAGCCGTTTGATACTGGCCTCCCGTTTTGGCCCTTCAAGCCCCATGAAACACTCAAACATCTGATCCTTGTAAAATCACAGTCACTATTGATAAAGTCATGGTTATAATCATTTAAGAAATCGAACCGTTCAGGCCAGTGGCCTGTCTAAAATAGGGGCCTTAAGACTTAGAAGGGGGCTTTGAGCCCATTATACTATAGTTAAAATAAGGGTACTTACTTAAGCCCCTATAATACCATACTTATAATAAGGAACCCCCAAAATCATGCAGGTAGTTATTTAAGCCTCTCTAGTAGTCCCACTTCCCTTACTTCCTGGGTCGCGGACTTGGGTTCAGGCTTAGGCTAGAAGCTCAGCGCTTACTTAAAGGATCATGGGACTTAGTAACTAGGGTTATACTTTAAAGGGGTCCTTTGAAGAGGATCTATAGAGGGTTCTAGTATAAGAGGGGTTTTAGGGTCTACTTAAAGGATCATGGGACTTAGTAACTAGGGTTATAATTAGGGAAACTATACTTCAAACCCCAATTAAGGTACTCATAACCTTACTTACTAAGTCCCAAGTCCCATGATCCTCCAAGTAGAGCTGTTCGATCCCACTGTCAACCCTGATGCGCAGTAAACCCTCACTGCTGTCCGTCGCTAGTGAAGCTCAAACATCCGAATCTAAGAACTCAGCCCATGCTGAATCGTTCGGGGATTGGTACGAAAAGAGATTAGGGAATCAGGCGGTACGCAAATCAAACCAGACCTCAACCCAAACCCTAAACCCAAACGAGAAAGGCTCATGACATCTCTTGCTGTGCGTAACCAAGGCGTTGCGGAGATCGAGATGAAATTGATGGCTTATGGCATACCAAGAAGGGGCCTTAAAAATTAGAGCAGTGCTTTCGGGGCCCATTATACTATACTTATGAGAATAATAAGGAACCCCCAAAATAGTATTGGTATTCATTTAGGCTCCCATATTACTTAGGGGCAAGCGCAATAACTCTACATAAGCCCCTCGCAACTATAACTGTGCTTGCTTGAAGGATGCAGGGCCTTGTGCGTTGCCGGTCATCACCATTTCCTGCTTTTCAGGTCGGCTTGGGCGGATTGGTACACTTCTCAGGGGCCCAGAAAGAAGAGTCCTCACTTTATCAACAAAATTCTATACCCCCGACCCTACCCACGCTCGAAGACCACTGAAACGACAGCTGCAGGAAGCGGATACCCAACACAGCCAGAAATCGTACGTTCGATCCCAGATCCAGCCCCTACATTCGAAAAGAGTTCCAAGAAGGGTCGAAAGTGAAACCATGGGGCACCTCGCCCTGTATAGTAAGCCAGGTTTGGCAGAGATACCCCAAGCCCGAACACCTCTTGACCCTAAACCCCTACACCCCGCACTCCTCAACCCTAGGATTTCTTTCCGGATCACAGAATTTCATGGGATGAAAACCTCAAAACCAAGACAGAAAGCCCAAACCCTGAAACCCAAGGGCCGAGGTAGTTTGGATCCCAGGACAGACCGTAAAGACTAAACTTACCCCGTATGATGAAAACCACAAACCTACACCCTAAACTACAACCCAAATCCCAAAGCCTACACTAGGGTTTGGGAGGGATTTAGGGTTTAGGGTTTAGAAATCTACAACCTAAACTACCAACCTAAACCCTCTAAACCGTCATTGAGATTGCCCACACCCTCGGTCTACCAACCCACAGCGCAGCACAAAGTGTGTGTCCTGCTCATGGGTCGCCTGAGATGCTGGCGTTGAGGATCTCGGGTCTCAGGCTTAGGGTCTATACTTAAAGGATCATGGGACTTAGTAACTAGGGTTATACTTTAAAGGGGTCCTTTAAAGGGTATCTATAGAGGGTTCTAGTATAAGAGGGGTTTTAGGGTCTACTTAAAGGATCATGGGACTTAGTAACTAGGGTTATAATTACGGTAACTATACTTATAACCCCAGTTAAGGTACTCATAACCTTACTTACTAAGTCCCATGATCCTCCAAGTCGGTTTTGAGTGTTTAGGGTTTGGGATTTCCAGGGATTAGGATTTGGGGCTTACGGGGTTTAGGGCCTATACCATGTTTGGGTTCCCCGGGGATTCAGAGCTCAGAGGTTAAGGGGTTCATGTTTTGGGGGTCTTGAGGGTTTAGAGGGGGTCAGGGCTTTCTGCTGATCCGGTGCCACCGGGAGAGCTGGTACTGACACTGGCACTGGCGCCTCAACGTCATGGGTGTCCATGTCAAAGTTCCTCTTAGCCAATCTGCTCAAGACGGCTCTGATGGTGCTGCCACCGACGCGAGTTACCAAGGCAGCTGCTTGCGCTGCCACTGGCACAGCTACAGCACTTGTCAAAAAGGGAAGCTCCTCACAAATGGCGGTCAGAGTTTTCTTGCTCAGCTCGAACAGGTCTCGAAGCAGGACAGTCTCGCTTCGAGTATCCATGAACTTCTTCGCATGTGCTAGTACACTCTTGGCAATCGCTTTCATTTGCTGTCTCACAAGGACTTCAGATGCTCCGGCAGGCGCCGCATTGACAAATATACGTTGACCAGAAGCGTTGCCTATGGCTGCTTGAGATTGTTTGAGGTTTGACTTGTTGCAGTTGGAGGTCTTTCAGGAACACTACATCCTTGTTGGCGAGAGCCGATCTCTCAAGAAGCAGTTCTTGTAAACTCCGCCCGCCAGCAAGCTCAAACAGCTCTAAAGGCCAAACTAGATGCCCTTAACCAGAAAAAGCAGTGTAGGGGGTGTTTGCTTACGGCACACTGATTTGGGCTTCGGCTTGGGTTCTTTCACCGACACTCGCCAGCCCTTCAACGTGAAAACTCTGAAACGGAAATCAATGAATCGAGGTCTAAATACTAGACCGCAAAGGTCTCGAGCATAGATTCTCATGAGAGACAAAATCTAAATCCCGAACCTGAAGCCTTCAGTAGCTACCTAAGCTCTACCTAAGCCCTGACTACGGTAACCCTGAGGTGTTTTTGTTCAAGGCTGGGGTTTGTGCGCCAACGCTTCTCACTAACGACCTCGCACGGGTGTCGTCAACCCAACACCGACGGAATCCCTAAAATCTCAAAGCCTGTATGCTGCAAGCCTCCCTAATAAATAATACCTGCATGGAGGGTTGTTCTAATTCAGGGTACTTTCAGGGTCTCTAATAGAAGCATAACCAACTGTAGTTGGTTACAAAACACGGGCCTATGCAGCTCGCGAAGCCCAAAGCCCTACACCTAGATGATGGAAACCTTTACAAGAAATCAAACCTGAAATCACACGAATTACGCAGAAGTATATGGAACAATGGTTGGACCCAAGCCGAAGCCATAAACCTACCTTAAAACTCTGTTCTAAGAACATTAAGCAACCCGTTACTGCATTGTGAACCCTGAAACCAAAAGAAGACAAAGCACATCCATGCGGGATTATTTTGAATCCGGGTCCCTCCGGGGGTCCGTAGCAGTGTAACGGTGATGCACTGTCTTGAGGAGTTCGAAGGGAAATTTGTGTAGAAAACACCCCCATCCGCCAACTCCCGCTCAACGTTACGTCAAATCCTTAGTAGGAAAATTCAAGAAAGCCCTAAACCCGGTTTAACACCAAAACCTAAAGCATGTAAACCCACACCCCTCAAATGTGTAAAATCCAAACCCTAAGACCTAAGCATTCTAAAACCTGACAGATCCTAAAACCCCACACCTTAAAACAGGACGACCGGACGAGGAGCCACGACCGGCCAGACAAAACAGCCCTGGAACAGGTAATAAAAAGAACCCAAACCCTAAATACATCCAAAACCCTGTAAATCCTAGGAGCAAGTAGAACCCAAACCCTATGACCCTAAAGCATCTAAAACCTGGTACATCGCAGCCTAAACCCCTACTTGGAGGATCATGGGACTTAGTAAGTAAGCTTATAAGTACTTTAATTCGGTTGTAAGTATAGTTACCCTAATTATAACTCTAGTTACTAACTCCAAAGATCCTTTAAGTAACCCCAAAAGCAGGACAAGGGGCTAGCACCGCACACCCGGGCGTCCCGGGCGACAGAAGCGCCAACAGCTCCGAGGTCTCCGTAGCATTGGCCCGGAGCTGCAGGGCTGGGTAGAGTTTCACTAAGATTTAGCTTACCTTTGGTTAGTAGGGAATGGAAGAATGGTAGTAATAGTTTTAATTGTACCACATTCCTCCATTCCCTACTAACCAAAGGTAAGATAGGGTTCCTTTCAAGGGTAGTATGAGGGTTCCTTTCAGGGGTAGTGTACGGGTTTTGGGTTTAGGGGTTAAAGGCGTGTAATTAGGGTTTAGACGCCGCAACGGTGAAAAAAAGATTCCCAAATCTGAGCTTTCTGTAGCAGATTGTTCGCGCTGTACTGACAACCCTAAACGCCAACTAAAATGAGCGTGCCTTTTACTTTTGCGGCCCCGGTTTATAAGAGAGCAGTACTAATTTGAGGTTCCAACAAGGGACCGAATTTCGATTTTGCTTTACAAGTGTTTGCAGGTTGTTCCGGGTCCTAGCAAATAAGAAATGGAAAAGATGGCGACAACGATGATGCCGACAACAAGCGGGGATGCTCTTGACGCACATCGCCATCAAATCTTGCATATGGGTGGTTGTCAAAATTATGGTCCCTTTTGGGGAACCCTAAATATTAGGTGCCGTACTATATTAGGGACCCAATAAGGGACCACAATTTTGACAGCCACCCATATACACAGTCCGGCCTCATGAGCTCCGTCAGATTTGAGAAAGTAGGGCGTCCTGAGTTTGGAAGTCGCAATTGAGAGAGCTTATTAAGCAAGCTCAAGCAACAGACATCAGAGCTGTTGCTGTTCGAGGCAATATGCGGCACGCACACACACACACACACTCTCTAACCCAGTATTGAAACTAGACTGACTAGACAGATAATGTGGTCTCACTGGAAGCACTGATACCAACCATCTTGCCGAGAGTTCTGCTGAAGAGTTGGTGGGGTGTTGTCTCAGACATGTTGGTGCCTGAAACATGTCAGGCTTAGACACATCTACACAAGAAGTGGCTGTTGATTGAGCAACAAGTGACGACGTGCAAAAGAGCTGGGACGTAAACTTATTGCTAAACTTTGGCCGGCATCCTAAACGAACAACAGCGGGTTGTGACAGATCTCCAGCGTGCGAACAGAACACATGACTACCCGGTTACCACGACAGAAGAACTACACGCCATGTGCTGCTGGCAACCCAGAATAAGCCGTCGCCATCCAAATGTCTACAGACGACAGCTGTCAAGCCCAAGCAGCCCTGAGAGGTCAAATCCTCAACACCTTATATTTTTAAATCCCTCGAACTTTACCTACTCCCCCCCAAAGGAAAAGCCACTGAAATAAAAGGTTAAACTTTCCGATTCCTACTAGACTATCAGAAGCCAAAAAAGTTTAAAAGGCTAGGTATTGGGGATCTAAGTTTCAAGACACTGAACACATCAATGATGTAGACCTATCAGCTATCCTTAGCTCAAGAATGCTGGCCAGCAGTGCATGCTACGAAGGTCCTGCAAAAACGATCCGACGTCTTGCCGAGTGGCAAGTGCTTGTTGCCACCTCCCCGGTTGTTCTGAATCAGCATGTTCGTCGCGAAGATTTCAGGCTAGGATTGGTCAGGGTGAACTGAAATACGGGTGCAGGCACGCCGCTCAAGCTATGATCATGTTGGGTCATGTCGCAGCGCACGTGAGTAAAGGACGTTCCGTAGCCCAAGGACTTGGGCTATAACTTTGTCAGCATCAAGTCAACTGTGGTCCTGCATAGTTAATCTTACATTAAACCAATAAATGCTTGAAAAAAAAGAAGCTGTCACCCGCCAAGGGTTGAAATGTGGCCAAACACAGACCGTACGTTAATAATGGGTTTCAGGTATTGTGCATCAGGACAGATTGGCTTGGTCTTTCGAGCAATGAGGCTTCAGCTGTTCCCGGGCTGCAACCCAAAGCTCTGAAACCACGACACCCTTCTATGGTTTACCGGTATGGGTTTGGAGTTGGCGGCTTATGGAGTTTAGGGCTGAACACTACTTGGAGGATCATGGGTAGTCATAAGTAGGGTTATAAGTTCCAGAATATGGGTTATAAGTATAGTCACCTTAACTATAACTCTAGTTACTAAGCCCCATGATCCTTTAAGTATGCACTGATACCTAGTCCGGAACCTCCAGAATTATTCGACTGGCCTGAAGCCTCAAATAAACAGCAAACTCGCACGACACCACGAAGCCTTAAACTTGACCAAAACCCTGCATCTAGCCTCTGATCTCAAATCGCAATTTTCGTAGCGAGGATATCCAACAGCGCGTTTACCCTAAAGGCTTCCGACAGCTATATCGACCCGTGTGCGATTGCCTGCAGTCTGGAGGCTCAAAACTGAAACCAGTTCAGCCTTTGCCATAAGGACCCCTTTTTTGGGGGTAGGGTCTATTTAAGGGAGAATAGTCCCCCCCAAGTCCAAGTTATAGACCCTACTTCACAGAAACATGCCTTGGCAAAACTTTACCAACCGTAGTATTAACACCTGATTTCATAAATCCTAAACTTAGGTCCGTATTATGAAACATTGAAATCAGATTTCATACATCAAAAAACTCCTAAACCCCTTCAGGTCGGGTTGTTGGTAGCCGGCGCAGTTGCTGCCAGGATACCGCTCCCTTCTCGAGCCTGGCGACCAGGGCATATCGCTGAGTGACGAGGGCTATGTGCACCTGGGCTTTAGGGTTCAGGGTTTAGGGGTTTAGGGTTTAGGATTTAGCTCGCGGTCGAGCGTAGGGTTGCAGCAGGAGCTTATTGTTCCGACTTCGAGAACCAACATCTATTGGAGTTGCAGCCTGAATTTGCAGTGACTTGCGGCGCTGGCAGGTGTTTGCCAGAGAAGGTAATTTAGCATCTGTGGCTGGGAGTAAGGGCCAGGGTTCCAAACTGCAGCAACTGAGTGCAAAACTTTCAGCCATGAGCAGCAAGATTTAAGCATTTAAGTTAGTACTGCTTACTACGATTGTCTTGTAATTCGTGGTAGCGGTAGCGGTAGCAGAAGCAGTAGCAGCAGCAGCAGGAGGAGGAGGAGGAGGAGGCCGAGGAGGAGGAGGAGGAGGAGGCCGAGAAAGAGGAGGAGGCCGAGGAGGTAGGTGTTGGAGTGGGAGCAGGAAGAAGAAGGAGAAGGAGAAGCAAAAGGAGTAGTAGTAGTAGTAGTAGTAGTAGTAGTAGTAGTAGTAGTAGTAGTAGTAGTAGGAGTAGTAGCAGTAGTAGTAGTAGTAGTAGTAGTAGTAGTAGTAGGAGTAGTAGCAGTAGTAGTAGTAGTAGTAGTAGTAGTAGTAGTAGTAGTCCTCGTAGTCGCTGCAGCGTCGTAGTCGCTGCAGCGGGCAGTAGTGGCAGTGGAGTGGTCGGGATCATCACCCTGCACCAGGCCAGGCGGGTGGCAAAAGCCTTCACGGTAAGCCAGAGCTCGCTTGCTCGGCCATCGTCATCATGAAGCCTGTCAGGTTTAAGTTCGGGGCCTGGGGTTGAGGGTCTTTTTTGAGGGGATGGTCGGACTCAATGAGTGCACGCAAAGTCTTGCAAGTCCCTCTGCAGTGGATGCATCGGGGTTGAGGGTCCTGGGGTTCGGGGTTTGCGGTTTGAGGTCCGAGGTGTTGGGCTTAGATGGTTCAGGATTTACTTGGAGAGGTCAGTGTGCTGCCTCTACAACTCGTTCTACCAATGTGGTTGTGTGTGCTGCTGCTACCTGCTACTCCTACATTACTTTCGGTCCTATGCGTACTACCAATACTCCTACTCCAACTCTTACTCTGCCTACTCCTACTGTACTCTTGCTTTGGCTCCTGCTCCTACTCCTACCATACTCCTACTCCTCCACCGACTACTGCTAATACTACTGCTGCTGCTGTTCCTGCTGCAATCACTAACAGCAACTGCAGGACTTGTCGGGGGAATAGTGCCCGGGGAAGACGCCTGGGATCTTCCAGGGACTTCATGCTCTGCCAGCCCTCTCGCGGAATCTTCTCCTGCTTGCAATTGGCAGGGGCATCTTTTTGATGCTTTGGGCCCGGTGTTGTAAGCAGGGCGTACACATGAATTACAGGGCTTTAGGTGGCGCATACCCTGACGGGTTTTATCCTTTGCTGGGTGGCTGTTGAGGGGGAGTTTGCTGACGTAGTTGGTGGCCTCACTTTGCGTTCCGTGGCTTGGGACTTGAGCCATTCCGACTTGAGTTGGGATTCACTAACCCAGCAGTAAACTCGGCTGAAGCACTCGGAGCATGTGTGAAACATCCTTACCAACCTTCAAAAACCCGTGCCAAACAAGACATCACAAAATCTTATACATCCGGTCATCTGTGTATAATACCATAGACGCCCGAAACAAGAAGGCCCTCGCAGAACCCTAAACCTAAATCCCAATCCTCAAACTCTGTTATGAACCCTCAGCTCCTAAACTCACACTAGACTCCTAAACCCTAATCTCTAAACCCTAAAGCCAAACCCTAATCCCTAACCTCCTAAACCCTTCTGAAGCCCTTGGAGGCCTCGAAAGGTGGGACGAAGGTAGGTAGGATGAAGGTTCACTCTTATTTGGGGATTATCCCACCTACCTTCATCCTACCTTTCGAGGCCACGGAAGCCCAAGCCAAACTCCTAAACCCTAAACCCTTATAGTCTAGTAACCCTTATAGTAAACCGCATAGATCCATTTAAGAAACCCCAAAACCCCCGGAAGCCCTGGCAGGATCGCTCCAAGAGCAGCGGCACAGCATCCAACAGCTCGACCGACTGGAGCGCTGCCGCCAGGAGAACTTGCCAAAGGAGAGCCTCCCACAGACTCCTAGGGTTCCTTTAAAGGGATCTATAAGGGCCCCTCTAAGGGCTCCTATAAGGGATCTATAGGGTTTAGGGTTTAGGGGGCTCCAATATCCCTTAATTCAGGAATATGCCTTGTATTCAAGTAGGATCCCTAATTTGATCCAAGGTATATTCCCTACTTAAGGGGTCTTGGAGTCTCTGGGCTTCAGGAAGCTTCCTTTAAAGGGGTCCCCTAGGGATCTAAGGACTCATATATTGAAGCTTTTGGGCCCAAAGATCATACTATATAAGGCCTTTGGGGTCATAAGCTTCCAAGCTTCCTTTAAAGCCTTCCTTTCAGTGCTTCTATATATGGGGGTTCCTTAAGGGTTAATTAGTGGAGGGTTGTTTTAAGAGCTGCTGTATGAAGCCTAAATCCTGAGGTACACCCCAACATCTCGTCCGTGCCTCTCTGTCCAGCTGCTGACCCCCGTGCTTGGCAAAGGTGGTGATGAACACTTCCAAAAGGTTCTCCAACGAGTCCAACAAGATCTGCAGGGTTTAGGGTTTAGAGTTCAGGGTTTAGGGTTCTCCAGCAAGTCCAACAAGATCTGCAGCCAACATGGGGCCGTGCTTGATTGGTCCCGGATGTAGTGGCTTTGGGTTACGATGTCAGGACTCACAGGGATTGGGGGCAGTGCCTCTGCACCTTTGCAGCCGGCGCGGGAGAGTGCCACTGCAGCAGGAGCTTGCAATGCATTTGCAAGTGCCGCAAATAGCAATACACAAAACTTGCGCATCAGCAGCAGCAGCAGCAGATGCGGTACCACCACCACCAGAACCACCACCACCACCACCACCCCAGCAACAAAACGAAACACAATCATGACGACCAGCAGCGAAGCTTGGCACCGGTGGTAAAATCAGCATGCAGGAGAAGCAGAGCGAGAAGAACAAACCCGAAGGGTTTGGCTTTAGCACCTTGAAGCAGTTCACAACACCATCTCTGGATCCCTGCGGCCTTCAAGCTCATGCCATGGATGCTGAAGACGCGAATACAGACGTGCAGCGTTTACGAGTGGCTCGGCTATTTCTGCTGGGACATGGAATTGGTGAGTACGGCGAGGTTTGGTTTTGCCCAGGCCCTCCAGTTATTGTTCTTTCTCTTAACTACCGTACCCTTTGCAGTCTTTTCAAGGGTGTCACTCCTGAACCTCAAGTACTACATTTCCGTCTGCACGTCATCTACCGTGGATCATTCCTGTAGAAATGCAAATCGTGGAACTCAACAGCTGTATTCTGGCAGCTTGATCGCCAACTTCGCCACATCCAGGCTTTTCGAAACGAAGCTTTAGCAACGAGTCGAAATAGCTGGTAGATGCCAAAAGGCCCCTGAACACATTCCCGACTCGTTCGCGCGGGCCTCTGGCTGGGCGAGCAGCAACCAGCGCCAGATTTTGTAGCCCAGAGGTCCGTCTGAGCAAAGATTGAGACGACGCGAGAAACAGACAGCGAACCCGAAACCCGAAACTCAAATGTTTTGCACTTCGAGACTCTGGCCGGAGCTCTGGCGTGGTAAATACATTACGCAACCCCCCCCGGCAGAGCGCAATTAGGATTTACTTTTCATACAAGGATCAGGAGACTGGGTGATCAAGGTTGAAAAGTGCACGAGCTGAATTACAAGTCAACCTTCCCTTCTAATAAAGGCCGATGTATGCATGTAACTGTTGTGCAATAGGTCTAATCTCGGAAGAAAAGTTTCACGCCTTTAAAGTTTCGATTCTTTAGAGGTAAGGGTTGCTGCCTGCATAGTGGAAAATAGGGTTCAAATATGAAAAACTACCAATGGTTTGGGTAAGTATCCCTCATAGACTAGGTGTCGATTTCACCAGTCCCCAAAATTATACATAATTAATTCTCTGTATCTAACAGTAAAGGGAATTCAACGTTAATTATCCCAAATCGTTGCCTAGTCAGCCCTTAACCCTAAGCCCTTATAGATCCCTTTAAAGGAAGCCATATAGAACCCAAATCGATAGCTACTTATGGCGCTTTGGGCTTGGGACTTTGGGCAAAAATGTCTCGGGCTTAGGGCCTTCACGTCGGGCCCCCAAACCTTCCGAAACCCTCATGACCGATACTCAACGGAATCCATGCCACTTATGTTTGTATGAAACAAATACGTACCTATATATGCCCATGAATACATATTTATAATATAGGTACATACTGTGTTTATATGTGTGTACATTTGTATATATACATGTAAAAACTGTTTTGTGTATATGTATATATGTATGGCATATATATATACACTGTTATTAAATATAAAAAAAATTATAGTATTACTATCATTACACAGCTCAAGGGATAGCGCTCACAATGGATACGGCTTCTGACACACGCTTTGAAGTCCTAAGCCACAGATGGAAAGCCTGACCTCAAGAGGATCTAACAGTTGAGCAATATCGCAAGGATACGGTTAGGGTGACTTAAGCGCCTGTCATGGTGTCCCACTCCCGAATCGCCAGCCGAGGAAGACCATCCGTGGTGGTGTGATAGAGACTGTCCACGCCCAAAAAATCCAATCCGATGGCCTTGTCGGAGGGAAAACTTAGAGAATCGCGGGACTTAGCAACTAGGCTTACAAGTAACTCAAGTGTGGCTATCCGCAGATGTATACTCACAATTGCCTAGCCTCTCAGCTTTATGGCTATAACCTGTCCGCTGGGTTTTCGCGAAAACAAGACCAATGCAGGCTATATGACAAAGAAACCAACAAACAGCAAAGATTTTAGAGTGCGCGAATTTACGCACCCACGAGAGAGTGGCTATGCAGACAGTGTCGGATCTGCCGTTTTTTGTGTGAACACCCACATGGCCGATGAAAAAAGTCTCTCTCTCTCTCTCTCTCTCTCTCTCTCCCCAATTCGCTTTGTGCTGCGCCTTAAAACCCCGAAAGGCCTTGTAGCCCCATTGCTCCCAAGCCCTAAACCCTACGCCTTAAAGCCCCGAAAGGCCTTGTAGCCCCATTGCGTCTGCAGAAAGTTGCGAATGCCGAAGCCGTTCACGCGGGCCGTCACCAAGGCAGCGCGGTAGTCCTTCGCAAACCCAAAACCCTTAGCTTTAGGGCTTCGGGCTTACTCAAAGGATCATGGGACTTAGTAAGTACGGTTATAAGTACCTATCTGTTTTGTAACCCTAGTTATAACCCTAGTTACTAAGTCCCATGATCCTTTAAGTAGGGTTTCGGGCTTAGGGTTTACCTAGACCCCCCGAACTAGCCTCTAACATATTGGGGGTTCAGGGCTTCTATGCCCCCCAAAGCCCTCAAGTCTAAAGTCTAGGAGTTGGGATTGTGGTAATTAAGGGGACCCTTGGGGAGATACACCCTCCCAATAAGGCCCCTTTTTGAGGATGCCATAAGTAGGCTTGGGAAGGGTCCTTAATACTACCTAGGAAAGTCCTTCATGGCCTGCTTGTTGATGGCACCTCAACAGGGGGTTAAGGTTCAGGGTTCAGGGTGTGAGGTTTAGGGCTTATACAGGGTTTAGGGCTTAGGGTTCCGGGATCCAAGGGGGATAATGGATTGAAGCTTTAGCTGGGTTTTGTGTGGTAACCCGGGTGAAAAAGCATAACCTTCATGTCGAGATGGTTCCTTTAAGGATCGGGTCCAAAAACATATGCTCAAGTATAGTACTCCAACCCTAAACTCTAAACCCCTGTAGAACCGTAACCCTTACTTGGAGGGTCGGGGGACTTAGTAAGTAGGTAGTAAGTAGACTTACAAGTACCCTAAAAGGGACCCTAATTGGGGTTATGGTACCGATAAGTCCCTAAAATAACCAGTTACTAAGTCCCCCGACCCTCCACCAAGTCCAAGTATAAACCCTAAACCCAGTATTGGATTGACGCTTCAGGCGATAGGGCCGAGGATCGGTGCTGCATCGGGATGTTGGTTGCTTCTACATGCTCCAAGGGCCGAGGATCGGGTTTCCTTTTAGGGTTTAGGGTTTAGGGTGTAGGGTGTAGGGTTTAGGGGTTTAGGGTTTAGGGGTTTAGGGTTTAGGGTTTCGGGTTTCGGGTCTAGAGTTTAGGGGGTATGGTTTGGGGCTGCCTAGAGAGTTTGAGGAGTCTTGGATGTGTGCGGTCTCTGCTTCAAGTTATCGCGTCGAAAAGCGCACATACGCCGGACACCCTCCGAATCAGCAGAGACAAGAGCTCTGGAGTTCGAATTTAAGGCCCCAAAAAAGCACGCAAGCAAAAATGAGGATAGCGATATCCCATATAAATCCCCTTATAAGGTAGGGATATCCCTATAACATGCTTATGCTTATGTGCTTTTGGGTCCCTAAGAAGTGCGTCATCTGGCCACGAAGGGGCGAATGACATTCATGCTTAGAATAGAACGTACATATGGCACAGCATTCATTGCCTTGCAGTCTTTCGGGCTCAAACGTGAGAAGCGGCTGCTACTACCATCATGCAACGATGAAACAGCATGTGCTGCGGGAGCCAGCCTCCCCTTGCATTGAGCATAGTGTACCTACATGTGGGTGGTTGTCAAAGTTAGGGTCCCTTTTTGGGTCCTTATTATAGTACGGCACCAAATATTTACGGTACAGAAAAAAAGGGACCATAATTTTGACAACCACCCATGTGTTGGCCGTGGGCGCTCGGCGCCGACACGCAGTGCGTTCCCTCCAAACTTTCTGAACTCTCAAGCCTAACACCCACAAGGCTTCGACTAATTGGGTTTAGGGTCTAGGGTTTAGGGGTTTAGGGTTTAGGGTTTAGGGGTTTAGGGTTTAGGGTTTAGGGGTTTAGGGTCTAGGGTTTAGGGTTTAGGGTTTAGGGGTTTAGGGTTTAGGGTTTAGGGGTTTAGGGTTTAGGGTTTAGGGTTTAGGGGTTTAGGGTTTAGGGTTTAGGGGTTTAGGGTTTAGGGTTTAAGGGTTTAGGGTTTAGGGGTTTAGGGGTTTAGGGTTAGGGTAACCCTAAATGTCCATGTACCTAAATCGTATATACATTGGCCTTAAAGTACTCCCTATATGGGTACATTGGGCCCAAAGTATAAACCATTTGGGCACATGGACCCTTAGGGTAATAATGTAAAGCCCAGCTCATCATGGTATGTTGTGGCAGAAATTAGGCAATCTCTTTTGTGTGACGGGCCTCGTGGGAAGACGCCCACTGCGAGCCGCGCTATGAACTCTTGTGCCGCTGAAGCTTTGTCCAGGAAGTTGCTATCCTGTCTGCAGGTCGAAAAAAAGGTGGGGTTTGCAGGGTTACCTGCCGTCGGATTTGAGGAGCACTAGAGATCGTGGGACATGGGATCAGCCGGATTCACGCCGTCTCTGCTGCACGTGGACTATCAAGTGTTTTGAGAGTTCTGGGTGTGAGAGATGTCTACTACTGCGCACCTTTAACTCGGCTCCCACAAATCCACAAACTGAAGCTGATAGAGCGAGTTGAAGGACCACCCAACTCTTCGCTGCATAGCAGCATCAACTTTCAGGCGTTGCCGACTCGAATGAAAATCTCTTGCCACTTTTGCTTTGGAGGGTGCCCCAATCCACCACCACGGCCCAAACCACTGTTTTCTGGCTTCGTGCCTCGAACACCCTCTACGCGCTTCCTGCAGAGTGCCGGGTTCAGGTGCAGGGATTCGAAAGAGAACCAGAAGCAACCACTACTCAAAGGATCATGGGACTTGGTACCTGGGGTTATACTTATAGGGTAACTATATTTATAACCCCAATCAAGGTACTTATAACCTGACTTACTAAGTCCCATGATCCTCCACTATAGAACCTTTAAAAACCTTTTAGGGATCCCTTTATTGTAGAACTCTATAGTACCCTTAAAGGAACTCCTCCAAGGGGTTACCAAGTACATACCCTTCCTCGAGGCAACACGGAACCCCAAGCAGCACCGACTGAGAGGATGAGTTGGCCCGGGAGCTTCTCCAGATTTAAAGCCCTACTAATATAGGGGCCTTGATGATTAGAATAGGTTTTCGGAGCAAAATTTACTGTAGTTATATTTGATAAGGAACCCTCAAACAAGTATTTGTAATTAGGCCCCTATATTAAAAACTTCGACTTCGGAACTCCCACGCTTTGGGTTATCAGGGCTTAGCGCATTTCGCACCCCCCCCCGGGAGTGTGGCTTAAACCGGGTCTATTTGGCAGCTGGATGTGTGTGTATTGGCAGGACTCCACGCGCCAGCTGCCAAATAGACCCCATGTGGTGTTCCAGCGCGCCTGGACCCCGGGAATTAAATAATTTAAATCCGGGGGCCTCCCCCGTATTTAAATTATTTAATTGGGGCCAGGAATTAAATAATTTAAATAATTTAAATAATTTAAATAATTTAAATCCTGGGGGAGGGGGGTCCGGGGAGGGGCGGGGCCATGAATTAAATAATTTAAATAATTTAAATCCGGGGGAATCTGCCGGGGCCGGGAATTAAATAATTTAAATAATTTAAATAATTTAAATCCTGGGGGAGGGGGGTCTGGGGGAGGGGCGGGGCCGGGAATTAAATAATTTAAATAATTTAAATACGGGGGCCTCGCCCGTATTTAAATTATTTAATTCCCGCGGGGGGGTCCGGACCCGCCCGCCCCGGACCCCCTCCCTCAGGATTTAAATTATTTAAATTATTTAAATTATTTAAATTATTTAAATTATTTAATTGGGGCCGGGAATTAAATAATTTAAATAATTTAAATCCGGAGGCCTCGCCCGTATTTAAATTATTTAATTGGGGCCGGGAATTAAATAATTTAAATAATTTAAATCCGGGGGCCTCCCCCGTATTTAAATTATTTAATTGGGGCCGGGAATTAAATAATTTAAATAATTTAAATAATTTAAATAATTTAAATCCTGGGGGAGGGGGGTCTGGGGGAGGGGCGGGGCCGGGAATTAAATAATTTAAATAATTTAAATCCGGGGGCCTCGCCCGTATTTAAATTATTTAATTCCCGCGGGGGGGTCCGGACCCGCCCGCCCCGGACCCCCTCCCTCAGGATTTAAATTATTTAAATTATTTAAATTATTTAAATTATTTAAATTATTTAATTGGGGCCGGGAATTAAATAATTTAAATAATTTAAATCCGGAGGCCTCGCCCGTATTTAAATTATTTAATTGGGGCCGGGAATTAAATAATTTAAATAATTTAAATCCGGGGGCCTCCCCCGTATTTAAATTATTTAATTGGGGCCGGGAATTAAATAATTTAAATAATTTAAATAATTTAAAAAATTTAAATCCTGGGGGAGGGGGGTCTGGGGGAGGGGCGGGGCCGGGAATTAAATAATTTAAATAATTTAAATCCGGGGGCCTCGCCCGTATTTAAATTATTTAATTCCCGCGGGGGGGTCCGGACCCGCCCGCCCCGGACCCCCTCCCTCAGGATTTAAATTATTTAAATTATTTAAATTATTTAAATTATTTAAATTATTTAATTGGGGCCGGGAATTAAATAATTTAAATAATTTAAATCCGGAGGCCTCGCCCGTATTTAAATTATTTAATTGGGGCCGGGAATTAAATAATTTAAATAATTTCAATCCGGGGGCCTCCCCCGTATTTAAATTATTTAATTGGGGCCGGGAATTAAATAATTTAAATAATTTAAATAATTTAAATAATTTAAATCCTGGGGGAGGGGGGTCTGGGGGAGGGGCGGGGCCGGGAATTAAATAATTTAAATAATTTAAATCCGGGGGCCTCGCCCGTATTTAAATTATTTAATTCCCGCGGGGGGGTCCGGACCCGCCCGCCCCGGACCCCCTCCCTCAGGATTTAAATTATTTAAATTATTTAAATTATTTAAATTATTTAATTGGGGCCGGGAATTAAATAATTTAAATAATTTAAATCCGGAGGCCTCGCCCGTATTTAAATTATTTAATTGGGGCCGGGAATTAAATAATTTAAATAATTTAATCCGGGGGCCTCCCCCGTATTTAAATTATTTAATTGGGGCCGGGAATTAAATAATTTAAATAATTTAAATAATTTAAATAATTTAAATCCTGGGGGAGGGGGGTCTGGGGGAGGGGCGGGGCCGGGAATTAAATAATTTAAATAATTTAAATCCGGGGGCCTCGCCCGTATTTAAATTATTTAATTCCCGCGGGGGGGTCCGGACCCGCCCGCCCCACCCCCTCCCTCAGGATTTAAATTGTTTAAATTATGTAAATTATTTAAACTATTTAAATTATTTAAATTATTTAATTGGGGCCGGGAATTAAACCCTCCCACCACCCTCTCACCCACCACTTCAAGGGCTAGGGATCCCACACATCTGCGGGCAAAATCTGGCGGAAGTGATCCGCCACCGAGCAAAAAGCCTGTAAATACCGCATTCAACGAAGGGCCAGGGATTTCACACATCTGTTGGCAAAATCTGGCGGAAGTGAGCAGTCGGTACCTCCGCCAGATTTTGCCAACAGATGTGTGAAATCCCTGGCCCTTTGTTTAATGCGGTATTTACAAGCTTTTTGCTCGGTGGCGGATCACTTCCGCCAGATTTTGCCCGCAGATGTGTGAGATCCCTGGCCGTTGTTTTAACGCGGTATTTACAGGCGTTCTGCTCGGTCGCGGCTCGCAGGGATGAGGGGGACACCCCTTGCGCTCTGTGGTTTTCTGATCTGAGTTTTCACAAGACCTTAGGGGGACACCACTTGCGATCTATGATTTTGGGATCTGAGTTCTTACACAACCTTCCCTCCACCTCCTGCCCACGCTACCTCCCAGACACCCTCCCACCACCCTCTCACCCACCACTTCAAGGGCTAGGGATCCCACACATCTGCGGGCAAAATCTGGCGGAAGTGATCCGCCACCGAGCAAAAAGCCCGTAAATACCGCATTAAACAAAGGGCCAGGGATTTCGCACATCTGTTGGCAAAATCTGGCGGAAGTACCGACTGCTCACTTCCGCCAGATTTTGCCAACAGATGTGTGAAATCCCTGGCCCTTTGTTGAATGCGGTATTTACAAGCTTTTTGCTCGGTGGCGGATCACTTCCGCCAGATTTTGCGCGAGATGTGTGGGGTCCCTGGCCGTTGTTTTTAACGCGGTATTTACAGGCTTTCTGCTCGGTCGCGGCTCGCAGGGATTAGGAGGACACCCCTTGCGATTTGTGATTTTGGAACTTATTTGTTATAACAACCTTTAGGGGGACACCACTTGCGATCTGTGGTTTTCGGTTCTGAGTTTTCACAAAACCTTGGGGAGACACCCCTTGCGATCTGTGATTTCGGGATCTGAGTTCTTACAAAACCTTGGGGGGGACACCGCTTGCGATTTGTGGTGTTGGAATTCTTTTGTTATAAAAAGCTTTAGGGAGACACCCCTTGCGATTTATTGTTTTGGAACTTGTTGTTTCAACGAACCCTTAGGGGGACACCCCTTGCGATCTGGGTTTTTGGGATCTGAGTCTGTACAAATCTTGGGGCGACACCCTTGTGATCTGTGATTTTCTCTGTGTTTTTTGCAGAACTTCAAGGAAAAAAAATCTTGCCGACGCAGGGGTAGATGGAGCTCTCTTGTCTTTCGTGAAGTTGAAGGGGCCTGTCTGCTGTGCTGAGATGGACCTCTCTCCCGTCTCATTACATGGGAGGAAGCTCTCAATCATTTCTTGTGGAGGATGAAGTAGAAGACTTTTCTTTTTGGAAGCAAGGGGAGCCCTGGCTTCTCTTGCTAGGAGCGAAGTCTCTTCAATCTTCTTAAGATAAAAGCGACTTACCAAGAGGTAAAGGCTCTCTCTGCTGAAATAAAGCTCTCGTCGCTTACCAAGAATAACTTGGAGTGAGCTCTCTTCCTGCTTCACAGCAGGGTAAGGTAGAGGGCTTGGGCTTCTCGTCTCGTTTTGAAGGCCACGGGGAGGACCGGCCATTCTCTTGTCAAGGATTGAAATTTGGAAAAGCTCTATCCTTCCTTCCTGATCGTACGCTCCCTTCCAAGTTTTTTTCTCGAGGAGGAGATGTTCAGGAGCTGTCGCTGCTGACGAACAGAGAAAGAAGTTTTCTTCTTATCGCCAGAGAGGCAGTCGGAGCTCCCTTCTTTCTCGTGATGCGTTGTTCTTTTGCCACGAACAACCTTTGGGGACTGTTTTCTTGCTTTGGAGCATGAGGTCTTTTCTTTTGAAGGCTGGCGACTGAGGAAGGTATAAGAAATCTCCTCTAGGGAAATCTGCTCTTGCCAAGAATAACTAGGAATGAGAACGCT